ACAGGCTCTAGTGCTTTACTGTTGAAGGCCTGTGTACACATAGAATGATAGAGACGTGCTCTTCTTCCAGATGCGTCATCTGTCAGAGCTTCTATTTCAGATTTTAATTTGAAATAGGCTAAATGTAGTCGTAGTAGTCATTTGTACTTTTCCTGTGGAAGCAACTTCTAGACAGCTGGCGTACAGCCGTGGGCATCAGGAAACTGGTTGCTCTAATCCCAGTTCTAACACAGATTTCCTTCACAAACTTGGCCAGTTTACTCAAATTCTTTCTGCCTCAGGTTTCCAGACCTACCAAAGCTATTTGCTGCATCTATTACAAAGGAGTGTTATGGGATTTTAACCACAAATTTCAGTGAAGTGCTTTGAGGTGCCCTAAGAAAAATGCTGAAGTACAAACTAATCATCGTATCTTGCTTTACTGAAACTGTACGTCTGATTTCTCCCAAAGTTCACTAAGGAATAGTGGAGAATAAACCCAAGCATTTTCATAACAACAAACTTGGCAATTAAAGGTAATTTGCCCTTACTTTTAAATTAAAAAAAAAAAACATTAAGAGTTTTTCAGTTGCTCAAAATTAAGAGCTAATGCTTTTCAAATGTCTGTTTTGATGCCACAAATAACAGAAGTCTGGATTATTTCCACTTTCCTGAGTATTTCCACTTACCTGACATTTACATGTAATCATGTTTAGAACATAAATCTGTGCCAAGCCCAGGTTTATTTTGAGGGCAGCTCATGGTTATACTTTATACAGGAACTAATGACCTACAATACACCCACAAATATTTAACCCATCATCTGTCTGAACAATATAAAAGAAAATACATTTGCTAATCCACTTTCAAGCATTAAGATAACCCAGCTAGGGGCAGCTGAAAGGAGAAATAAAGACATGGATATTGCTCTTTTCCTGTGCCATACAGAACCGGGCTAAACAAAAGTCAGAACTGCAAACAATAATAGCTGTCTCTTAATCAGGATTAAAAAAAAAAAAAGGCTCTCAAACAGCTATATTTATGGAAACCCCTCACTATTTTACTCTCACAAAGAGCACAATTTCTTACTCTTTATTACTAAAGTGATCCAAAAACCCAAACATTCTCCCTGAACTTCTTGTTGATGGGCAGAAATTTGTGAACAACAAAACCCGCTGGCAATCTGGCATAGTCTGCATCAAAAAGAGAGAAAAGACAAAGCCAAAACAGTAAACTCTGGAAAAAAGTTCTCCGATTTCTGTTTCTGCAACAAACAAGAACAAGTCCTCTGGCTTTGGTCATACTTTCATTCAGATTGTGCCCTAAATCATGCCCCTGAAATCACTACAGAAACTGTTGAAAACTAATCCATGAAGGCATTAACTCTGCAAATGAACACACACATCAATGACTCTGATTCCGGTGTCTCTGCATAATCAGAACAATGGCCAAATTCTGCTCTGAGGTCTATTTCAGTTTGTTATTTTGATAATAGAACTTCTCATTCCATTTCCATTTATCTGCTCCTACAGCTGACCCCAGGAATTTTTTAAAAAACTTTGTCTTTTAGGGTGAATTATGTTTAAGGAAAGAGAGTGAAAAACAAACACCAACACCAAATCTCGATGAGTGTTTTATAATGGATGAGTGTTTTCTGTAATGGAAAGTCCTACATCCTTCCTGATCCACCCTCTCAGCCTATCCATGGATGTGGGAGAGGAAAAAAAACAGCCCAAAGCGCATTTCTCATAAATAGACACTTGGAGTTCTAAAAGCCCTAATGCTTATTTTTTATTTATATATATAAACCAACCAATAAAAGACTACACATACCAATTACCTTTTCTCTTCTTGTACATACTGTCAAGCAGTAAACAGAAATCAGCAGCTGCAGTGCTTTTTTATTCAGGATGTGTATATTAACTGGTGACTCACCAAATAATTTGCAGCCCAGCATGACAGTTGTCTTCTCCTCCACAGAAAGAAACACTATTTTAAACAGAAAGTTAACCACTGTGGAACTTGCAGGCAAGCCAGCATGCATCAGAACAAGATAAATATTGCTGGTGGATCCCAACAGGGCAGAGGAAATGGGGTGGTTCCAATAGCATATTGCAAGCTTTTTAAAATACTCAAATTGGAATAAATAATACATGGTGGGGAAAGCGGAGGCCAAGAAGAAAGGATTATCACAGAGTCAACCCACACTGCCACATGGCCTTTTGTGGCACATGCTGCCTTCACACAGCAGGCAAGACCTGCGCTGCATTAACAACTTCAGTATATGGCTAAGCTTTTTTTTTTGTAGTCCTCTGTAAGCACATTTGCGGTCTGACTCAATAGTTTATTTCAAGTAGGGAACAGTAATCTATGGCACAGAGGCCTAAGATGGCATGCAGCAGGCTTAGGGAGGGCTTCGATGTGGAACTTGCATGGAAAAAGGTATCTGTGAAAAGATGGCTCCCAAATCCTGGCTCTCATTGGGCTCCAATGTCTGCAGGAGTTGGGAGCCCGTGGTTCTTGCAAACAGATGCTCTGTAGCATCTTCAGGAATTGTGGGTCTTGCTGAGTTTCTTCCAGAACACTTAACCTCTCCTTTGGAGAGCAAGCTGACAGTTCTTCCTTCAGATTACGTCCACCATGTAATTAATGAGCTTGACATTATAATTTTGGCCAAACTTCTGTTACATCCTATCTGATCGGATGCGATCAGAAAGGAGTACAATCCAATTAAATTCTAGGAAATTAAGGGCAATCGCTCTCTACTCCTACAATATTCACTGTGCTGTTCTTTAGTGCAGCATGAAAAACTTCTTTACTGACAGTACAAAATACTACTATGACTTAAGTATTTTAAGACTGAACCACACATTTCATTCTGTTTTAACTCCATTCAAAATCTATTTAACAAATTCTGATCTGTTTCCAATTGCCTTGTCAAAAGAAGAAATAAAAAAAAAAAAAAATCAGACACAACAGGAATTCTCCAAGAGTTGCAGAAGTGTCATTTAATAAAAATGTGGGGTTTTAATTCTTCCTAATCTTATAGTTCTTTAAGAACTACAAAATGAGAAAGCAAGTCTCCTTGATCTCAGAAGAGACATTACTCCTTTGCTCTCTGCTTAAGAAAGAAGGTTCAAAGAAAACTCACAGCATTATTGTCCATAGCACCCGCTGCTAATTCCTAGACTCCAATATGCATAAAGTCTCCCTCTGTATAATCTCAATCATTGTTCATCAACCATTGCAGACATCTGAATCAAACTTTGGCAACATGGGTTTAAAGCTATTTTTACAGTCAGGAGAGCCAATATGTGGCAGAAAACAGATTCCAGCATACAAAACCACGTTCGCATTACAGTATTCTTGTGGTTCTCAATAAACCACAGGTTCTTCTGCTTTAGGATATCACTGTCACACCCCCAAAATACAACGCCCTCTGCAGCCAACTCTGTTCAGTGAAATCCCTGCTCTGCTACACAAAAAGGCAAGATAATACAAACCATCCAACCAACCTTCTGCAAGCAAGATTTAGCATGCTCATGACGTATTTGGAATGGCTAAAGGCCCAAGCTGCAGCTATCGTGTATCAGTTCAGGATTTTTTAGACTGATAATGAACGTGTGCTTCTAAAAAACACTGACTTGGTGCAAACAGCATATTGATGATTTGTTTAGCTCCGTAGAAATAGCCAGAAACATAGAAGTCTAACAAAAATATGGCAAGTCTGCCAGGACTGCTGTAGATCCAGAAATCCTGCCAAATTCAAAATATCAGCTTCTACATGAATAAAGTTCAGATTAAAAAAAAAAAAAAAGATGAAAGCTGTATAGCATCTCTTGAAAATGAAAGGTACACAGACTTCTATAAATAAAGTTCACTCCTTTCACCATTTGCTATTTTGCTGCTCCACAGGAACTACTAGAGGACTCTGAGCTGTAATTCTCCTGCACTAAACTCCCAAAAGAAAATTTCTAAAGCAAAATCCAGTTTAAAATTTGAAAGTACACATCAATAACTCTAAATTAAGCTTAACTGCTATTTGCATAAACTACTGTGTAGGAACAGATGTATATTCATAGGTCTCTAAATCATTCAGGCAGCACAGCAATACTCTTAAAAACCCCAAGCAAGACAAATCAGTATAGTGAATAGGGAGGTAGGTGGGAGTAATTAAAGATGAATTAGTGATTGTAACCATTGAGATCACAGACCTTTAAGGAAATAGTAGAAAATGAAAGCAATCTTGTACTAAAAGACAAACAAAAGATCAGTTGGATCTCTTCCAGATTCCAATATTCAGAAATGCGTATTTTAAATAAGAAGTTAGTTGCTAAATAAGTAACAAAATCTAATGGAAAAGAACATATTCATACTTCAGACCTATACTGGCCAGTGTCCAGCAATAGCAAGGTGTTCTTGCTGAAAAACAGATCTGAGCATGTACCTTTAGAATACCCAGAAAGCACATTAAATCCAAATACTTAAAAATTACTATCCATTGCCTTTGTTATATGTTTTGCCCTCCTCCAACATCTTTTCTTCGACGTGTGCATTCTCTGCATTTATAGTAGGAAAGAATTCACCACACACCCAAGGCAAATGAGCTCAAACAGAAACACATTTACAAGCTGTCTACAGGACAAAACACGTTCCAGGAGCGCGGGGATACTGGCAGACATTCTTTAGTATCTTGCCCAACCCTACGGGGCCGAGGCCTCTCCCGGGCGCGGCCGGCTGGCACAGCGGCAAAGCGGAGAGGAAGCCCCTTCGCCACCTCCAAACCGCAACCGCTTCGTTCCCCTGAGGCACAGATCGCTTCAGCCCAGCACCCCATTCCTCCCCCTCTGTCTCTGAGAAGCGCTTTTACACTTCTTCCCCCAGCTGGGAAGAAGCGGCTCCTTCCGGGTCCCTCCCCAGCGCCTCCCCCTTGGCCAGTCCCTGTGCTGGGCCAGTAGCCAACCTCTCCCTCTCCCCCTCAGCCGCCGCCGCCATTTTACCAGCCCCGCCTGCCCGCCCGCCGTCGGCTGCGCCGCGCAGGCGCAGTGCCGTGCCGGCCGCGGCAGGCAGCATGGAGGAGGCGCTGAGGCGGGCGCTGGGCACCGCGGTGCTCCGGCCGACGGGGCACTCGGGGGGTGGCTGCATCAGCCAGGGCCAGAGTTACGACACGGACTGCGGCCGGGTGTACGTGAAGAGCAACTCCAAGGCGGAGGTGTGTGGGGGTCGCGGGCGGGGTCCGTGTGGCGGGCCCGCGGGGCGGGGCGGGGCGGGAGGGCAGGCGAGGCCGCCGTGAGGGCGGTCGCGCTGAGGAGGTGGGCGCTGAGCTGGTCTAAGCCCGTGACTGCCTCTCCCCGACGGAGGGAGGTTTGCTGGCCGGCCTTTGGCTGTAAAATTTCTACTGCTGGTGTCAGGGAGGTCGCCTGCCGCCGGGCATAGAGGTCTGCTTTGTCTGGCAGCTTCTGCCGTGTGCGGGGTCTGGCTGGATGTTGCGGTGGGGGTGCCCCGGGACGGGGACGCCACGGTGCGGGTAGGCGCTGGGAGAGGAAGCAGCGTTTCTGGCGGGACGCTGTTGCGGGTTCAGTGTTATTTGTGTAGGGTAGGCAGTGCAGTGGCAGGCTGTTGTCAGTTCTGACGGGGATAATGATGTCACTGTGGCTGCATGTGCTGTGAAAGTGGAGCAACCCTGAAGGTATAAAATGGTCTAGTGAGGGTATGGGTCTTTCTTTGTTGTGACAAAACCAGTAATTCCCTGCACATAAGAAGGAGCTTTTCTCAATAAATTATATTTTTCCAGAATTGTTGTTCAAGACTTTCTTCTTTCAATATCTGGTACCAGCTACTGTAGAAGGTAGATATCTGCATTTGATAGAGATAAGTATAATGCACCATTCCTGTATGACATCCTTATTTTCAAAAGCAATGATCAGGTGGAATTACTTTAAAGGTACTCTACATTTGTGTCTGCCAAATTAGTAGCTGTATGGGAAGAACAAAATTCAGAATTTGTATCTACCCTTAAGAGCAAACAAATGTTTCTGAAAGCATGTGTGCAACTATATTCCAAATTTGTCTACGCTTTCTGATCATATCAGTGACCTGGATGGATGCACTGAGGTGATAACGTGTGAAAATATGGAAGGGTTATCCTGCTTTACATTAGACTGAAAATAGTTTGAATTGATAGTAATATAGCACTTCCACTTAGGCATTTGTTAATTGTTTTTAGGTATACAGTCCACCTAGCTGCAACATAGGGCTTGGAAAAGAAAAGATCTGTATAGATTTTTCTCTTCAGTAATCATTTCATTGTCTGTGCTTTTGCCTGTATGTGGGTTCTGCATGCTGATTAAAGCAAACTTTGCCATACTATTATAACATTGTGCTGTGTGTGCAGCAGTGGATATATATCAGCAGTTTCTTTACAAAACCAAAGTTCTTTAGAAAATACTGTGGTTTTTACTCTATTTAAAGTTAACAGCTTCATGGCTCAGTAATTCAGTAGTTCTTAATTCTTGATCTCCTGTAGGCTTTGGAATTTTTAGTCAATGTCTATTCCAAATTTACCTTTGACTGTTTCATGTACCAGTACTAAAGGACTAGTATTCTGTTTCTATTTTATTCATTATATTTCCTTGCTTTCACTTTTAGCAGATACCATAGATTTCCCACATACCCTTTTTCTGCAGCCTCTGCCTAAGTCTTCTAGAGTAGCATTTCTTTGTGTGACTAGTGTCACCGATGTCAGTGAAGCAACTCAAGAAAATAGATTTTTACTTGGTGTGGATACCAGTTGCAGAAACAGGTCCTAAATTCAGAATGCCTTCAAATCAAATGCAGTTGTTAGTGGCTTGGGTTCTAAGGGCTTCTGTGTGCAAGTGTGGTAAGGAGCATTTGGCTGCTATCATTGATATTCTTGTTTTTTTTTTTTTGGTTTTTTTTTTTTTTTTTTTTTTTTGTTTTTTTTTTTTTTTGTTTTTTTCTCCACATGAGGCAAAAGAAAGAGGCCAGGGAAAATAATTTGGTGACTGCAAATTAGAATATTTTGAAGATATTACTGAGTAGTCTGTGTCAGGAAAGTCATGAAGACTATGAATGTCAGCACCATGCTTCTAGTCTCTCAGCTGATGATGGATATTGCCCGTAGCTTTCTAGGCATTTGCTGCGTAATCCATTAATAAAATATTGCTTACATTTTATATAGATTCAGTTTGCACTCCTTCAATTGTAAACAGACTTTCTAAGTTACTTTTATGATTACAGAGATTTCTAGCACCTAAGTCACTTCCATGGAGTTTGTTTATGAAGAGAAATTTCTTTATTTGTAAAATTACTCTAAGTCTGGTGGTGTGGATCTATTTGTATCTTGTATGTGCAGTAACCACTTGCTCCAAACTTTTTATTTAACGTTTACAGCTTTGATTGGTTTTGTGAAAGAGCTTTGTTTATCTGGGACTGGCATTGGTAGAGACTAATGCTTTCCTTTAATATTTGACAGGCTAGAAGAATGTTTGAAGGAGAAATGGCAAGTTTGGAAGCCCTTTTGAAAACACAGACAATAAAAGTGCCTAAACCCATCAAAGTTATAGACCTGCCTGGGGGCAGTACTCTGTTTGTGATGGAACATTTAGAAATGAGAGGCTTAAACAGGTAAAACACAGTATTACCTTTGTTTCCTTTAGCCAGAAATTTTGACTATTATGACAATTAAATCACTTGTTTTCAGAGGGGAAACCTTTTTTTTTTTAAGCAAATCAAGATACAGGCAAGAACTGTATAAAAGGTTTCATAATACTTCACCTAGCAAATAGGTCATGCATGGAGATGTGAGTGTGGTTTTTTTCTTTAGTTTTGGGTTTGTTTTTTTATAAGCAATTAGTGATTTTTCCAGTCAGGAAAATTACTGACCTGATCACCTGTTTTGTGTCCTTGCCTTTGGTGTAAGAACCAATGTTTGATATTGCTTGTCATCATGATGTAGGGGCACTTCCCCAAATGAATACATTCTGATTTTAGTATTTTTACAACCCTCACTTTGATTCTTATAGTTTCAAACTTTTGTTCCTCCTCTGTGGCAAACACTTCAGCAAATTAAAATATGATGAATACTTCTGTCTGGTTCCTTAAGGGAGGTGGGCATGACCAATTTCTCATCCCAATCTCAGAAATTCTGCAGCCAGTTTAAAGTCCTATCCTTCATCCTGCTCATCCACAGAATTTCTAAGTCACGAAGCTGATGATTTAGTGAGCTTCAAGAGAAGGAGCTGAAATCCTGTTGTGTTTGGGCTGATTGAGATGAAAAGTGTGTAACTGCAACATTTGGCATACAAATTTCAGGGGATAACTACAGTCTGTGTTAACAGAAACAAAAGTAAGAAATAACTTTGCCTTAAATGACAGTGCCTTGAGAACAGGGAAAGATGTGGGAAGTGAGGTAGGAACAGAAACATACTTTTCTTAACATGTGAGGCAACTGGCTGTAAGAGTAGTTTGTAGTTGCGGCAAGGCTTTCCTGAACTTTGTAGAGGATGAGCTTTTATTAAAAATAGATGAATAAATAAGGCCCACCTGACTCTTCCATCTTCTAGGCCTTTTAGAGAGGACAAGCCAAAGACAGAGATATAAAGAGGATGAGTTTTGTTTGCCTCCATTTCCCAAAGATTGTTATTAAATTTATGATTGCTGCTCACTTTCACTTTTAATAGTGTTGTCAGAAACAACCATGTAGGTACATTTTGTTTTATGTTAATACATAATCTTTATAGGAAGAGAAGGCATTTATAGCTGGAATATTTTGAAAATGTACTTTGTTAGAGATACAGAATTTCTTTTACTCACTTGATAAGTCTTTTCAATTAATTCCTGGAATATCAAGAACTGGATTCATTCATGTGTGTCAGTGTTGCTAAGAATACTTTTGGTTTTTAGACATTCAGCAAAGCTTGGAACGCAACTCGCTGATCTCCACCTTCATAACCAGCAACTTCGAGAGAAGCTGAAGAAGGAAGAGAGCACAGTTGGTACAGTACACAACTGTTTGCAAATTTAATTGTTCCATAGATTATTATTAACTAGGTTAAAATAGCTTGTGTTATTTCAGGATAAGTTCATCTTCTTCCACTAAAGATATTACAAAAATAGATGTGGATGAAACACTCAGGGGCGGGTCTTCCTTTTGTTTTTGTTTGGTGTATTTGTATCTCTGTAAGCAAAATGTTTATTCAGTTTGGGACCCTTAGGATCCTGAACCACAGTTTCTGCGAGGACATGGTATCAGAGGAGATACATTACCTCAAAATATGATTATGAAGATTATAATATAGCTGCTTTACATCAAGCTTATAACTTAAAACCCAACAGCAACAACAACTATAACAAAAAGAGCATTAAGGTGCAATTTTTTAATTCTCAGTAGAAGAAGCATTGTACCCTTGTGTAGTTTTTAAGGTCCATTTGCATTGCAGATACCTAGAATCTTGTCATTAGTATTGGATTTTTGTCTTTGGTTTGAAAGGTAAAGGTCAAGGGCAAATGGAAGTCCAGTTTGTGGATCAATTTGGCTTTCATACAGTTACCTGCTGTGGCTATCTTCCACAGGTAGGTTGTACTTCATCAAACTGATAGAATTTTAAGTTTATCTTATTTTCCCTTCGGTGACACAAGGGCCAAAATTATCATAATGGAAATTAATTTATTTATGTGGAGTCATAAAAAGAAAAAACATTATTCAGCCTGATAAGGAAAGTAGTGCTTCAGACAGCACTTCCAGCTGCATTGGACATCAATAGCTCTTCAATTTCTTGGGTTTTATCACTTAAATTATTTATTCCCCCAATTTAATGTTTTAAGATAACAGTATTAAGTGGTAGCATTTACTTTCCTGGAGTGTATCAGCACAAAGGCTGTATAATCCTCCAAAGCTTTATTTGAAAAAGAAGAAAATCTGTATTTTGTGTGATGTAGAGCTAACATGGGCTGTCCTGTTCCTGCAGGTGAATGACTGGCAGAGTGACTGGGTGACTTTCTTTGCCAAGCAAAGAATCCAGCCCCAGATGGACATGATTGAAGAGAATTCAGGAGACAGAGAAGCAAGAGAACTTTGGGCACAGCTTCAGGTAGGAAAAGTTCTCTCAATTCTCATTATACTGATAGCTAGGTATCAGTTGTTTAGATTTTCTTTTCATAAAACAAAGTTTCTGTTTGTTAGTATGCTTCAGGTTCTGTTGGTAAGAGACTCCATTTTTTAGGGATTAAAATGACCTTTATTCTAACGCGTGATGGATCACATCACTCTATGCTGATATTACAAAGTGAATGTGTGCCAAGTAGCACTTTGCCTTACTGTTTGGGAAATACTAGATCGAATTCACATTTCTCATTTGCTGTAACATGTTTGTGATGAGAAATGTATATAAGCAGTTCAGTTCTACACATCATCTATTCATGTAAGGCTTGCATCTGATTAAGTGACTGCAGTATTAGCTATTTGGGTATTTGCAGAAGTCTCTTCAAGGTTGGTGAGAGATCCCTGAGCCTTCTAATGATGAAGTGGGTGGTGGTTGTTGTTAAAGCTGGTCAATACTGCAGAGCTGAATGCAGTTATAAATTTTTTGTTTTCTTGCTAAAAAACAGTTGGATGATTATTCTTCAGCTGCTGGCTTTTATGAAAAATAGAAATCCTCTTGATTTTCTTAGCATCTCTGTTGACTAGGTCCTATGCTGTTTAAAGTTTTGGGTTTTTTTTTAACTAACTATTAAGAAGTTTCCATTCATGCTCTGCATGTATGCAGATAAAACTACAATCATTCACCTTAAAATGTAGTACTTACACATCTTGTTTTTTTCCCCCTGCAGCTGAAGATACCCAGTTTGTTCTGTGATGTAGAAATTGTTCCTGCTCTCCTGCATGGAGATCTCTGGGGAGGAAATGTAGCTGAGGATGATTCTGGTCCAATTATCTTCGATCCGGCTTCTTTCTATGGCCATTCAGAGTATGAGCTTGCGATAGCTGGGATGTTTGGTGGCTTCAGCAGTTCTTTTTACTCTGCTTATCACAGTAAAATTCCCAAAGCTGCAGGGTTTGAGAAACGCCTAAAGCTTTATCAGCTTTTTCACTACATGAACCATTGGAACCATTTTGGTACAGGGTACAGAGGATCTTCTCTAAACATTATGAGAAACCTTATAAAGTGACTTGCTGCTTAAGCGGAATACTTTTTATGTTGCTTGGAAAACGCCATACTTGGCAGTGCAACTATGGGAGTAGTAATGTTAAAAAAACCCTACTAGACCCTTGACCTTGTTGCACAGCTAAAGACCTAGAGTCGGCAAGTCCTGCTCAATACCAAGTGTAACATAGTCACCCCTTTTTAGGATAGTTGGGAATAACTTTATGAGGGAAATCTCTAAGGAAGGAGTTTATTCAGTTGCACAAAAGATCCACGAGTGTCAGAAAAGCATTGAATGCTTGAGACTAGGCGAGGTAATACAAATCAAGCACTCAAGTGTAAATTATTTTGCAGTTTTCTCTTAGGGACCAGTTGTGCTTCAGAGTAGAAAAATAGCAGGATTTGCATTTGCACCCTAATGAAAAACATTAGAGAAGTGTTTGTGAAATGGAAAATTGCTTTTCTCGGTTACTGAGATGGCTAAAGAAGTTGTCCATTGCTTTTTGCTGTTCCCCTCCCACCTTTATGGTAGATTGCTCAGACTATTTCGGTTCTTCATGTCCAGTTATGTGCACGGGAACAATGTGAAGAAAGTATTTTGAAAGTCAGCAAGAAAATTATGTAATGGGAACTGTGAAAAATGGTTGGACTTGCTATTCATTATGTTAATGTGATTCTATTGGATGGAGACTGCTTCCTGTTCTGTTAGAAATCTGTGTGAAAATGCTTATAACTTTTCCTGGCATGTGCATTTTGGTGCCTCATGGCATTCATGTAGGCTGTTCTGTGCTTGCCGGTCAGTGGGCTCTTATCCACAGCAATTTTGTTTTCACCAGAGCTAGCTTTCTCTTCTTTTCTGGATTATGCTTTTGTCCAATAATGTGTATTCTTAAAGATCTTTCAGATAAGACACTTTACATGTGAAGATGTACTCTCTCACTAACACAAACAGAAGATGTACTTTTTGACTGTCATTGCCCACAGGATAATGCCAACTACTTGTGGTACAGGCTTCATATAAATTTTCTGTAGTTTAGGCTATAAGCCAACTTTTTTCTTCAGTCCCCACTAAGTGCACTTTGTAGCTCTTGGGATAAGAGACATGAAACCAAAGGAAGTTAAAATGTAACTCACAGAACAGCAGCTCCACACCGCTGTCAGAAGTTCTTCAAGGACAGCTTTGCAGACTAGCTATTTATTGTTCCTGCAAGATGGTAATAAAAAAAATTGTACAATTGTACTCTTTTTGATGTAGGCTGGTAATCATATTTCAGTGCAAGTGTACCAGGTAAGTGAGATGCATGATTCCTAACATGCATTTTGAGTGTGGGAATGACTTAAATTAAAAACTAATTTTTCATTGTATATTGGTAGGTTACTGATTTTTTTTTTTTTTTTTTTTTTTTTTTAGTTTCTGTTTTTGCAGTTATTTATACAAATTTGAAGGAAATTTAGAGAAGGCTATCACTTGATATAACTTTCTCTCCTTAATTCTACTACTGTTCTCACTGGCTGTTTAAATTTTGCTACAAAAAAGTTTTAAAGCCTTGCTTGGTAGAATAGCTTTTACTTTTACCTTGTTGCTTAAATAAAAAGTTTCCCAGCTGATTACTGTTGTCTGTCTTTTCTGAGTTAACCTTACAGCTTGCATTCGTTCTTGGGGAGCTACTTGCTCTAACATGTTAAAGGTCCCTAGCTTGTCAGACAATTATGGTCGTCAGAGGTGTTGATGGGTACATGGTTACGGATTTTTATCTGGAGCAGTGTGTCACTGAAGAGAACTTACATGTTGTTCAGTTACAGTATCATTTGAGGTCATACCTGTGCCTTCAAACTTTTATGTGTTGTACCAGCTCTTCAGATGTTTTTGATGTTATGTTTGTGCCCATATCCTTATCCCATTCACCCAAATTTAACACAGCTTAGCGCAGCTGACTGAAGAAATGCTGTGGAATTTTAGCCAGCAGTCAATCTGGCTAGATCACTGCAGTGTTTATTTCCATATGCTTTCATAATAAAGTTAGAAGTTATTTAACAAGGTCATTCTGTTTACAAGTCTTTGACAAATCAACATGTTTATTGGAATACCTAAATACTTTTTATTATTAGAAGGTGAAAAGTGATATGAAGGTAGATAAACTTGAGTGATAAATGGTAAATCTTCAAAGATCACCTTTTCCTAACAGAATTGAATCAAAATCTTTTTGTGATTGAAGGAAAATTGTGTTGTATGTGAGTTATGTAAATAGAAACAACTGTACTTAGAGTTTTCATTTAAGGGATAGTATGCTCACTTTTTGAAAACTATTTTGTGCTGCAATTAAAAATGGAAGGGGTGTAGGGAGGTATACAAACGGTATGTAGCAGCAAGCTCTATTCTACCACATTTCCCTTGGTTTTGAATTTTTATAGACAGCAGTTGAATCAGGGGATGAAGAAGGGGCGGAAGTCTTCTGAAGGCTGCTGGTGGACTCTTAAGAAATTGCTGCAGTTCCATAAGGTATATTTTTTTTTTTCTTATGCATTGTATAGTTCTGCATTGCTCTTAGAATTCTCTTTGATTATTTTGTTGCATTATACGTTCTAGGCATGCATTTGTTACTCCTTACCTCTTTCTGTCATAGTTTAAAGCTAATGTGTCCTGCTTTTCCTACTCATATGTTCTTGGCACCCTCTGTACTTTATAAACCTGGTGAGTGTGTTTCCTTGTACCCATACTCATTATGTATTTCCTGGTTCTGTATCATAATTTTTCTGTCTTTCCATTCCTGTTTGGACAAGGAAAAAAAGGGTAAAAGAATGACTGAATTTCTCTTAAATACACAGTGTACGTTTATTTATACATTATAAAAAAATTGTAATATCCTCTCATGATGCTTCTAAGTCTTCTCAAGATGGATCGCAATACATATGTTGCACATGTAGACTAAAGCATCTCAAGGCATTTAGTACTTTGAAATCTAGATCTCCTTTTTTTTCATTAATTTAAACTAAATTTTGAAATTAATTCCATAGGGAATTAATTAGTGGGTTGGCATATGATTCTGCATCATTTTAATAACATCAGCTTCTGCCCTGGAGAGGATTTAGGGGAATGGAAACTTGGAAGTCTGGACTCAATTGTTAGGATCATAATGAAATTCAGGTTGGGATAGACCTCAGGAGGTTACTTAATTCAATCTCCTGCTTAAAGCAGGATGAGTTATGAGGACAAACCAGTTACTTAGGTCTTTGTGTGATCTTGAAACCCCCCTGCACAACCTCCCTGGACTTCACTGTCCTAATTGTGAAAATACATCCAAGTGTGAATCTCTGCAAGAACCTGTATTTTTACTGAATTGCCTATAGTTCCTATGTACCCTACATTTCAGTGTGATTTTTGTTTTCATTCTCATGGACTGCTGCCATCTGCAAATAGCAATGTTGCACTCTAGTACTGGTTTTCTTTGTTTTTCATATTCACTGCTGTCCCAAGATATATCTGATGATTTTAACTGACGTTGGGCTGTTCTAGCAGAAGTAAAAGCAGGTGGGAAGTGATATATAATTAGCTGCTCCTGTAGGCACTGATTGTGACAGAAGATTTAAGGAGAAAATTTATTTCTGGTAATTAAGCCACACCAAAATTTGAGTAGGTTTATTATTTTTATTGTAAAATAATATTCAATTACTCTTCAACACATTTTTTCAATGAAATCTCAAAAGAATTCATTGAAATATCCCAAGATGTGGTTGATACTGTATACAGAGATCCAGCCTGTGCAGTTTTGCTGAAGATCAGATCTGTAGGATTAAAAGAGCTCTCAATTATTTGTCCTTGGATAGCTCTTTACTGAGAAACTATAACTTCTGTCAAAGGAAGGGAAGTTTTTATGATGGACAGTCTTTTCTTGCTCACAGCTTACACTGTTCTGTGTAGCTTTCTGTGGTTCTTTAGTTACTGTTGCTCCCGAAGGAGAAGTAAGCAATCCCTTTTTTCCGTTGTTACACACGGGGATATCAGTCTTCTGGACAGTGAAAGGCAACATATTAGAAGCAGATGTGAGCAAAACAAGGAAGGAGCTGGGAGACTGAACAGTTACAAGCTCCCCTCCAAGGATAACCCTGGGGCTGGGTCTCAGAGCAGGGCCGCCCCCCGGCAGTGGGCGCGGCCCGGGCGCTGGCCGTGGTGCTGAACCCGGCGGGCCGGGGCGGCTCCGGGCACCGGCGCTGCAAGCGCCGTGTTCCTCCGAGCCCAGCTGGGACGCTTTTCGAGTTGTTTTACTTCCAGTGTTCGAAATTGTTAGTTTGAAGTTGCTTGGCTGGAAACAATGCGAACAAAAGTGTTAGGAAACCAGGCCTCTCACCTGTGCGTTACTAGTTAAATACCGATTCAGTGTGGAAGTAAACAGATGGCTTTTCTATCTCTTGGCTTCTGTGTAAGTGAAGCAACATATTTGGGTTAACACAGTCCCATTTCTGATTTAACCAAAAATAAAATAAATAGAATGCTGAAAGAAGTGTTACAGTCAGTAATTATTAGCATTTTTGCTGGAAATTATAGGAGAGAAGTCCACGGCATATTAGACAGCAAAAATTTTGGGTTCAGTAGTAGTATTGTGGATGAAGATCCATTCTCCTTGTTTGTTTTGGGGCTTTGAGTTGTTTGTTGTTCTGTTTGGTTTTTTTTGTTTGCTGTTTTGTTTTCTCCTTAACAGGTAAGTAGAAAAATGAATTAGGGTACTTTTCACTATGCAGAAATATGGGTCCCCACTCACTGTCATTAATTTTGTTGCCAAAAGGCTTTATTCCTTTCCCCAGATGGTCCATTGCAACCCAGGGTATGATTACCTCCTTTCAGCAGTAGGGTTCTTTCTCTTCAGGGCTTCATACATCCCGAAATTCCAATTGCTTAGCATTTTCACTATCTATAAATCAGTCATACGAGTCATATTAACTGCCCCAAACTCCAAGATCTAGAGCCATAATCAAGTTGCTTTGAGTGCATGTGCACTGGTTTACTGGAATTTAATGTACATGCTGAGCACTTATAGTTTAAGTTTTATTTGGTCGGGGCATAGTTGTTTGCTTTAGCAGCTGCAGCTCACTTCCTAGGTACAAATGCTCTATAAGAGTGCATGGACAAACTCTTTAAGACTCCGACAGAAGTGCTGACTTCTTCTCTACCTCTCGCCAACATGACTTTTTGTAGCTCTATTTTGTGAATAATCTGTTTTGCAATTAGTATATCAGTGATGTGATGGTTATAAAATACTATAGCTAGACTTTGTAGAAAGATTGCCAAAGCAGTCATTGGTTACTTTAGATATACAATGCACAGTCACTGGTTACTTTAGACGTGTAATGCAAATGTCCAACCAAGATGTGTAACTTCAAATGTGACTTCTTGCTGTTCTTGAATACTCTTCCGTATTTGAATCACTGTTTCTGATTCCAGGTCATAAACTGCGCTTTTCCAGCTTGTGCTTTTACTTTATAAACAATGCCTTGCTCAGATAAATCTGGATGTTATAAAAGTTCCTCCTTAGCCAATCTGTCGCTTTGAGTTCTGCTGTGTTCCAGCTGCTCTGTACCATAAGGAACTATGGTCTGAGAAATCACTTGTACTATACCTGTATTTTTAAATCCATCTAGGCCTGGAACCATTTGTGAATGTAGTAAAAAGCCTACCTCAATGAAGCCAGTATTTGTCCAGTAATCATTCCTTTCTCTGTCGAAACCAAATAGCTTATATGAATCAATGCAAACAAATAGTAGAGAAAAGAGGGATAAATGCATGAAAGCACAGTGCGGCAGTGGCAACAGAATCCAGAAATTCCCTGGGGAGATGACGGGCATTGCTGCTCCAAGTGAGAGCAAGAACTGCAGCCTTTTCCATGTGCTAGGAGTCAGTCACAGCCACCTAACCAAATATATTTACACAGACATTATTAAAACAAATATTGTAGGGTCTGGGTTATGACATCATGTTTTCAAGGTTTAACGCTTTATACCTGAGGGTGTCAGTGCGCTTTGCAAGTATGAAGCGATTAAATTCAGCAATGCCCAAGGGATCTTTCTGTTACAAACTGTGAAAGGAGAGAAAAAGGTGAAATGACATCCTAAAGATCATGTTAGATCTGGAGAAGCATGTAGGAACAGTATCCTAAATTTATTACCAGCTTGATGATTTTACTATAAATTTTCACTTGATAATGTCCAGCCCTGAGCATGTTACTATCTCACTGAATTGAGGGCACTTTCAGGCAGTAGGAATCTTTTGACTGTGTCTGACGAGATTGAATTATGCCCCAAGAAGGGAAGGTGTTTTAAAGATGTTGGTGATGGCAACAGAACTCCAGCCCACACAAAGCAACTACAAGCAGTGAAAAAGCTCACTGATGTTTCCACATTTTTCTGGTGGCTGATTTATGGTCAGCAGCATGATTTAATTACATCCTTCTGGACTGCAACTTCAGTTTTCATTTTAAAAAAAACATTATACAACACGCGTACAATTTGTATTGTTACATTTAGACTCCCTCTAGTGGCTTGGTTTAAAAATGACCCCTTTCACAAAGCGATCACAGAGCTTAAAAAAGAAAAACGGGTCCAAACTACAAATACCAGCAGCTCTCAGCACAGTTGAGAGAGGACCCAGGACACACCTCTCGATTTTATTCTAGCAAGTATTTCGAAAATTTTTATTTTTCGCGTATAGCTATAAAAGCCCATGAGAAACAAAGCATTTTGAAACATTTTCTCTGGATTTCCTTTCTGTTTTTTTGGCTGCTATTTTTCTTTTTTTTTTTTTTTTTTTTTTTATTTGGTGGGTGGCCCTTTCTACCTCATAGCACAGTGACAGTGAAAGAAGGACCCAAACCTTTAATCTTGTTTTGCAGTGGATTTAGCAGAGAAAGCAGCTGCAGCAGCCTGGAAATTACCATGGAAAAAATCCTTAAAACAGAATTGAAAACTTCTCTTCTGAAGGCATTTGGAAGTTCCGGAGGAGGATACATTAGCCAAAGCCAAGGTTATGAAACAGACAGTGGACGAATATTTGTTAAAATCAACCACAAACCTCAGGTTAATGCTAGCAGATATTTAACTATTAATGCTATTGCATGTAGAGAGCTTTTTATTTTAAAAGCACCTGATTGTTAATAATTTAGAGTTCTGCATTTTTCAGGCTGACTGTTAATTATTCCAGTTTTTCTTTCAGTTTTATTTTAAAAGCTGTATTTCATATCAAGTGTTAATGCAGCAGGTTTGGTTAGTGCAAAATGAGGTGGAATGAAATGTGATAACCCTCGACAATAGCAATTGGCATTGCAGTATGTAAATTGAAGCTAAGTACAGAGCTGTTATTGTAGTCCTTAGCGTTTGGAAAAGCCTAAAGCTGAATTTGCATTCACTGCATTCTTTCCCATGTTTCAGTTGGGAGGACAGGATAGTCGGAGGGAGGAAACAGGGTCCCAGTGCTAAAACTCATACGTTATTTTTAAAGCTACAGAAGTGTTAGACTTTTCTGTACTTCTAGCAGTAAGATTCTTGCAGTATTTCAGACCAAGCTCTTGACTTCTGTTACTAAATTAATATTCAGTTGCTTTTGTAACGCCACAGTGCATCAGAAGTTTGCTTTATCAATATCAAAAACATCCTAAAACTGCTGTGAAGAATGGCATCTTTACTCAAAAATGCACAGTACAGGTTTAATGTTTGTACAGCCATCTCCATCTGGTGGCCACTGACCTGCATGGAAAGGAGAACCAGTTTAAGGATTCAGTCTTTTACTTAATTTAGAGTGGTCATCTGTGGTTTTGAAGCAGCTTGTCTTGGGTATTATCCTCAGAGATACTGTTATGTCTGAGTAGTTTGGTATCTCCATAAGCAACTGGAAATCATGGTGAAATATGACATATCCTACAATACTGGAATGAATTTGAGGAAAAAAATAAGTTAGAATTTAGGCACTGAAGTCTCCCTGTATGGACTGAAACCTTGCTGCAGCTACATTCTTTTATCAAGATGAATTAACTCCTTGTAACTTTGTAAAGAATGCTATTTTTTCCAAAGTAATTGCTTCAGACATCCATAGTTTAGCCCAAGGATATTCTTTTTCCTTGACAGGCTAGAAAAATGTTTGAAGGGGAAATGGCAAGTTTGGAAGCTATTCAGAAAACCAATATTGTGAGAGTGCCTCAACCTATTAAAGTAATTGACCTACCTGGAGGAGGAGCAATGTTTGTCATGGAGTACCTAAAGATGAAGCATCTCAACAAGTATGTCTGTACATCTCATTTTCTTTTTACTACATTTTGGGGCATGTTTTCTTACATCTTAGTCAGAAAACTTCAAGAGACGAACTTCTTTATTCTCTCAGAGATAGATCTTATATCTGTCAAGGTCTGCGTGTGTGTATGTGTACATACTAAAAAAACAAAACAAAACCAAAAAGCCAGAACAAACCAAAAACTTATTTATACATGTGTATGTATACACTCCTTCCCCATATTTTGCTCTTCCCTGACCCTCTGCCTGCACTAGAAATGGCATGCTGTCACTAGCCTAGAGCTTTGTATGCTGGTCCACATGTGCTACGTGCTACTGAAGCGAATGTGATAACAGCTGAATTTAGCCCATCTTTCCCTCATGAGATTTTTCATTTGAGTTTCTTTACCCAGACTATCAGTTTTCTTTAAACTTATAGGCTTCTTATGTCTTTGAAACCTCTGCTTCTGTAAGTATAATCTTCAAGTATGATTGGAGTCAGTCAACAAGGTCAAAGGCGCTAGGGAGAGGAAGAACTAAATGGGTAGATAACATGAAGTTCCATTTCATCTGTCAGCCAGCCTGAACATGGAATTCAGGAGTCATAGGCATTCAGGAGTTAGCTGCTTCATTCTGGGCCTCTATGGAACACAGCAATGCCTGTGGCTCTTCTGGCAGTTTTATTTCCAACTTACCTGTTTTTATTGGGAGAATAATGACAGTTCCACAGCCTCCCCAGTCTTTAGGAAAGACTTTTCTAATGTCTAACCTCCGTTCTCCTGGTTGCAATTTTAAACCCATTATTTTCTAACCATTCTGGGCCTGAAGAAGAAATTAGTTTCTCTCCTTGCAGCTCCTGTTGAGATATCTGTGCAATGTTTTAACTGTTTTTTTCAGTTTTGTCTTCTGCATTAAGCAACTTCAACTCAATCCTTGCCTATGGTGCTTTTTTAGACTTACCATTCTTACTGCTGTTCAGCTGATATCAAAGTATGAGGCCCAAAAATAGATACCATGTTCTGTTCTCTGCTTATTGATGTGGAGCTGATAAGCAGGACTACTTGATCCCCCTGTGCTCTATGCTCCTGTTTATACAACCTTGTGTTCTGTTTATCTTTCTTGCAAGAGCATTGGCTTGCGTTCATTTTCTTATCTGCTACAACCATTTCTTCAGAGTTGTTGTCTATTCATTTACTCCCTTTTATGTACTTGGGAATTTGATTAAGGTTCTATATTTGCCAAAAATTTTCTTGGTCAGATTTAATTGAGATTTTTTTTTTTCCCTGTAATATTTTGTTCATTTGTCTTTTGTTTTTTTGATCCTACAGATATTCTTCAAAGCTTGGAGAGCAGATAGCAGATCTTCATCTTTATAACCAGAAACTTGGAGAGAAATTGAGAAAGGAGGGAAACACAATTGGTAGAGTACTGATATAATGTACTAAAACAAAAATTAAATAATTAATTTGGCTGTGGTACAGTATTGCATTGTAATTTTAATGATAATTAAAGTTAATACTGGGACACTATTTCACGGTATAAGTCTCTCCTGTCCCTATGTCACACTTCTTAAAGGTACATTACATACACAGGAGCTATAATTAGTATTATAATTTTTAGGCCTATCATTTTAACCTTAACAAAACTAAATTAATTTATTTTTAATTCTTCATTTTGTATATACTTTGTCGTATAAAATTATGTGGATACTGAAATTTAGTAAGATATGGTGAAACTACTTGATAGTTAGAACTTTCAGCATTTCATAAGTCAAACAGAAAATTTGGCCTAATTGCTTTTTTTCAGTGTCAGTTAAACCTTTCAGCCTCATGTACCATCAATCTCTTAAAATGTTCTTGACCATACAGACATCCTTTTTTTTTGTTTACTGTTGGTTTAGACAATTATTATGGAATGTGGTCCCAGTTAGTAAACACTTAAGTTCCCCTTTTAAGATGTTGGGGATTACATTTTTGAACTCAGATATGTAGCAAAACATACAACTGCTGCTCCTTGAAGACAAATGTAATTCAGCAGTGTAAGGTCATGATCCAGTTTCTACTGACTCCAATGAAAGTACCTCTCATCGTTCTTTGGAAAGTGGATTAAGGCATAAATGGGAAAAAAGAAAAAGGAAACTGCAAATAATTATTCTTTCAGAGTTGTTGGTATTAAAATCTGAACCACCAATCTGTATCTGTGTCTCTCCCATGGCATCAGGAATGGACTGGATTTGAATCTTAGTGGTGGACATATTATAGTTCATTATTTTTGAGTGAGGCCAAATTACAAGCAGGTCACAAAAAAACCTGTAAGCCATGTTTAATGAGAATATGTTCAAGTGCCAGAACAGTAGATTGTGAGTCTGGTATCTGGACTCTGTTCCTGAATGTCGAACTCATTTATCCAAAGAAAAGTCACTAACTGTGCCTCCATTTCCGTTAGGTATCTTCAAGTTTAAGAGATTACTTTCCATCTTTATAGAGGGTTGTGACCATAAAATAAGTGTAACATATTGCTTAAAATTATTTTGTATGAATAGTCTCTGAAATTTAGTTGTGTGTTTGCAAACTTTACTACATAAGGATCTCAAAACTCCCAATATTTATTTTGTTTCTTAGGTAAAGGAGCAGGTCACTCTGAGTCTCAGTATGTGGATAAGTTTGGATTCCATACAGCCACTTGCTGTGGTTATATACCACAGGTATGTTCCATGCCTCTGAAAGCTATCATGCACTCATATAGTTCTATAAACTCCCTATACAAAAGTTTGTTTCATTGGCCTTCAGCTTTATGATCACAGTTTTGCTTCCACTGTTTCATTCTGACCCAATAGTGAAGGGGTTATGATGGATATTCAATGTGTGTGTCTTCCTACAATGCTTGTAGCAAGCAGACACTGTGGATGGAATAAGAATTTGAAATTATGTGATGGTTCTTTAGCTTGATGATACTTAATAAAATAACTATCCCTTCACATACCATGTCTAAGTTTTGTTTTTTCTAAACCTCAACTAGATGGATCTCAAGTGGCAAAATCCACTGCTTTTAGAGAGCCTCATCATGTAGCACATCACATAAGACTCTCAGAAAGGGCTCTCTCAGATGAATCAGTCATCTGCTGCCTCTGCACATGGTGGAATTTTGTTCTATTGTTTGACTGAATGAACTTCCAATATCTTAAACTCTTTGCTAAGTACAACTTTTCAAAAAATTAGAAATGCATTGCCTAGTAGAAATGAACAACTGCTTCTGCATTTCCAGAAAGGTTTTTGAATATAGCATGGAACAACTGAAATGATATTACCAGAAAATTTCCCTCTACAATACATTAAGAAAATTTGAGTGAATGAAAGTAACCAGAACCTCAATTTAAATCTCATGTTAAAGACAGCCCAATGTAATTATGGAAGAGAGCATCATACCCAAAAGATCAATCAACAAAACGTTGAATATTGTACGTAGGTAGTACTAATATTGTCTAGGCCATTGTGTCAGCATTGAATGTTTTGACTTGACATATATGTGTTATTAATACTCACTATGTATAAGTTAAAATTGTTTATTACAAACCTCTGTATCATATTTTCTAGGTGAATGAATGGCAGAGTGATTGGCCTTCCTTCTTTATTCGTCACCGACTCCAAGCTCAGTTGGATTTGATTGAAAAAGATTATGGAGACAGAGAAGCCAGAGAACTTTGGTCACAGCTGAAAGTATGAACCATGTCTTAAACCTGTTTTTTAGAATGTTAGAAACTATGTATCAGTGGAAATTTAAAGGTGTTTTATGAGATTTACATAGCTTTTAATGAACAGGGGTAACTGGACTAGCTTCACAGCTGGTCCAGCAACATTGTCAGCTGAAAAGAATTCATATTGCTCTTTCAGTTTTTTGAATAGATAGTGAAAAGAAACCTTCAATTCAGCACTGACGTTTATTTAGCAGAATACAGCTAATAATAAAAAGATGGTATATCCTACGAACTTGGTGTTACAAAGTAGGTAAGATTCTGCTGCCCAGGTAGATTTTTTTTTTTAATTTTTTTTTTTTCAAATTGATCTAGGCTCACAGCTGAGATTGTGGTTCAGGTCACACTCCATACAGCACTTAAGAAACAGCAAGGAATGTATTCTTCTGCAAGCTCTACATCACAAATTTGTTCCTTAATTGTGGTTAATCGGCACTGATGTTTACTGCTTCCCTTTTTGCCACTGAAACCTTTTAAATTTAAATGAAATTTTTATTTCTTGTGCCAGCCAATACTATCCATGTGTAGAAACAATATATTAATACTAGATGTTGATACTAGACTGTGAATTACATTATTTGCTAAGTTCTGTCAAGAACAATCAAGAACATTTATTGCTGGCATACTGTTTAGGTTTATGCTTGTAGCCATCAACTTCAGAAGTACTCCGAGAGGACTGAAGATAGGCGGTATTTGACCAGCTTAGTCTCTTATACACTACAGTATTTTATTTAGTATTTTCCTCAAAACTCTTTAATTGTTATGTGTTTGTTCATGCCTTTTCAGCTAAAGATTCCTGAAATGTTCTGTGATGTAGAAATCGTTCCTGCTCTCCTACATGGGGACCTGTGGGCAGGAAATGTGGCTGAAGACGACTCTGGGCCAATTATCTTTGATCCTGCTTCCTTCTATGGCCATTCAGAATTTGAACTGGCCATTGCTGGAATGTTTGGTGGGTTCAGCAGCTGTTTTTTTTCTGCCTATCACAGTAAAATACCCAAAGCTCCAGGATTTGAGAAACGAAACAAATTGTATCAGCTCTTTAATTACATAAACCACTGGAATCATTTTGGGACAGGGTACAGGGGATCTACCCTAAATGTAATGAGAAAACTTTTAAAGTAACCAGATAGGTTTGAGAAATTCTGACATAGTCCCTGAGTAGTGAACAGTCCCTGCTTATCAGAAGTACCACAAATGAGGAATTAATGTTGATGATAAAACATCTGACTGTAAAAGCCTTAGTACACTTTTGAACTTCACTAAATGTTGAGTGATTTTTAACTTATATACTAGTTTAGGAGCACAGATTCATACTGAAGGAAAAGACTGTGTTGTTTGTGAAGACTCCACTAGGTTGGAAAAGTAGCATGACAGTCAGCCTGACCTTACTCTCTGTGGAGAGTCTCCCTGCATAGCTGCTGCGTTTCCACAGTTGTTTGCATCTTCCCACTTCTGCTACTGCTCTATCAGCAGTTCATTATTGAGAACTACTGCTGTGGGATTGTGGTGCTGGAAGTAATAGCTAGTTCCTTACGTCTCCCCTTTTTTGTTCTGTTTTAGTTTTCTGTCTCTGTTTCCATCCCTTTTTCCATTTATGTTTCTGTCGTCTTCTACATGTTAAGTGTCCTAATCGAAAACTTAAATCAGATTCTATGAATCTGAAAATGAAAACATGCTCTTTTTGATTTAAAGAGGAGACAAGGCCCTTTGGACTGCACTTGGCAAACATATATAATTAATAACATTACTAATATTTATTTTAATTTAATGTAATTTATTTACATGATTTTTTCTCTTGCTATAAGAAATTAAATTACAGTGGTATTTCATAAAAAGGATGTCTCTAGTTCCCTGGTAATTAACTGTATGGTCTGAAAGTGGGTTATTACCACACAAGTTTGATAATAACATGTCATAGTTTTAGTATGATATTTTAGTGTGTCACACTATGATAGTAACATATTTAAATAACTTTGTAAAAAGATAGCAAAAAGTGGGAGGGAGCGTAGTGTTCTGATGACAAGAAAGCATCTGTTGCTGCTGTGTTGGTTGGTGCTTGATACATTTTCAATTTTACGAAATAAAACTGAGGCAAAGCTAGTCTGTTCTGCCATTGCTGGATTGCTGAAGGAACAGTGTCAAATTGGATGGCTTTATTATATTTTTTAATATTCTTAACTGCTTTGTTTTTACAGAAAACATAGGCAATGAGAATTTGGAGAGAAAACTGCAACAAAGATACTGGCATACAATGTCAGCTAGAGTACATTAGCAAATCTATGGGTTTTTTAATGGGAGAAAGTGGTAAAGAAAGTAAATGTAAGTGCAGTCCAACAAATGCTTATGTGAATCAGAAGACTTGAATGACTGTACTTAAGTATTTTGGCTTTAGACAGTTGCCATTATTAATATGTAAAATATATATTTTAAATGCTCAAATATGTTTAGACTTTTTTTCAATTTTAAACGGCTGTCCTACAAAGATTTCATATAGTTAGATGTTGCAATTAATACGATTAAAAAAATGCATTTAATTTCCTATAAATATAATATAAATAGATTTTTTTACTTCCTTCGAATTTGGGCTACAATTAGAGGAAGTTGTCATGGTGTGGTTATAACACTTAATAGTATTATAACAATGGAAAAGTAGAATAATAGAATACAGTTGAAATCCTAGCTGGTAACTAGAAGATCCGGGTCTGAGAAAACAGCAAAGTGCATGTGTACTAGCATTTATTAATGTTAACAAAAATACATGCATTACATTGGAAAGTACATGTGAACTTAAGGTCTTTCTCAAATAAAATACTTGCCTTGCAGAAACTAGGTGCTTGGTGTACCTGCATTTTGTGATTGTGGTTTGCTTTAATGAATTTGAGCTTGAAGATATGTTATTTGGGTGTGGATGGAGTTGCTGGGTGCAGGGAGAAGTTACCTGTCCTAACATCCTGGCCAGACTGAAGTGTCTGCCTCAATTTCCTTTATAATCAGTGGAGTGAAAGAAGCACCTCCTCGAAGTGACTTACCTCACCCTGAGCACCCATTTTAGTTTGTCAGCTGATCTGATCCTTCAAGTTTATTTTCTATTAAGTAAAAAGATAACCTAAAGCGAGTTTGCCAGTGTCCACTTCAGTCCCTAAGTTTGGTTTTCTAGTGGTGGCGGTGGTGTCAAGACAGAAGTGGCAAAGTAGCGGTTATGCTGTTATCTGGTAAAATATTGAGCAACTAGGGCAAAAGTGTGTGGGAAGAGTGGATGGAGATATGGTATGTCTTGGACTGAAATATGACAAAATATCTACCCGAGAAAGCTAACGGGAATGAATGTGGCATGTGAGATAATAACTTATGTGAGGGGCAGACATTTGTTTGAGTCTGCCCACTTCCTTTCTTCCCCCCCCCCCCCACCCCGTGGTTGTAGCTTTCAGCATTCCAACTTTGTTTCCAGAATTTTATAAGATTTAGATAATGCGTTATGACATTAACCATATAATTCAACGTTCTGCTGTGGTAAGAAACGGAGGCTACGGATAACTGCGTAATCCACCTGCCTTCCACACGCCTTTCGAAACCTGCGCAGTACGACTTGAGAGGCAAATTCAGGACCCTTCTTCCTGGCACGGCAGCACTTCTGTGCCCGGCGGCCTGGCAGAAACACGGCCAGAGCGGGGCAGAGCCTGCGCCACGGCCGAGAAAACGAGGGGCGTTTCCCCGGCTCGCTGAAGAAACGTAAAGCACGGGCTGTGGCGGCCGAGAGATCGCAGGATCCCGGACACAGAGGGGCCGCCGCCCGCCCGCTCCCCGCCAACCTTCCCCTCAGCCGCCCGCCCGCGCCCCGTTAACCTCAGCTCCCCCTCAGCCGCCCGCCGGCAGGGGCGGGGCCGCCGCGGCAGCGCAGCCGCCTCTGCAGCCGTTGGTCCCGCGCGGCGCCCCGTAGGAGGGAGGTTGCGCCCGGCAGCGCGCGCGGAGCAGGCTGCGGGGAGTGGAGCGGCGTTGCCCGGGTAATGCGGACGGGAGCTCCCGGCTTAGGGCCGGGGCTGGGAAAGGGGGGGTCGCTCGCCGTCCCCGGTGCTGTCGCCGACGCCTTCGCTGCTTCCGAGAGCCGCCCGCCGTGTGGGAGGGCCGGGCCGGGCCTCCGCTGCGCGGCGGGTGAGGGGCGCGGTGGGCAGCATGGCGGCGGGCAGGGCGGGGCGGGGCTGGGCCGCGGCTGGCGCGAGCCGGGGCTGAGGGGCGAGCGGCAGCGGGGGGCGACCCCCCGGCTCCGCGCCCCGCGGGAGGGACAGCCTGACTGACCGGCTGCTGTTCCAGGGAGCGCGGCCGGCCGGGCGCGGGCATGGCTTTGGGCGAGATGGATGGAGCGGGGCCGGAGGCAGAAGAAGGCAAGAATCAGGAGCCGGGTGTCATCGCCACGAGGAATATCCTGGAGGGTTTCACAGAAGGTCAGGAAGTCAGGGGGCTCATCGGCAACCTGAAGGGAGCCTTTGGGGATATGGTGACTCGGGAAATGACCGTGGAAAAATTCATAGGTGAGCACATCATCCAAAGTGAGCATGTTCTTATATTGCTTACAGAAACTTATTGCTAAAAAAGGACTAAACCGCTAATTTTGATTTAGTGATAATGCTGTAACTCAATCAACAGGTAGTTTAGATTTATTTTTTTACTATTTTTTTTCCCCAGATAGATATTCTATTACTACATGGTATTTAACCATTGTAAATAAAACCCCAGGTCTTAGATTTAAGAAATCTGTATTCAGCCCATGTTTAGCCTTCAGTTTTCTATTTGAATGCAGGCAGTAATTCAGTTAAAGTTTCTATGTCTGTCAAAGATATACCTAAGAGCTTGTTAAAAATGCATGAATTTTGAGCTTTAAAGTGGTAATTTAATATTTTTACTTTTATATTTCATAGGAAATATGAAGGGCATGTGAATCCATACAGATTATGTAATTGTTTATGAGTGGAGGCAACTTGGATCTGACTTAATAACTGAGCCTTTGTGCCATCTAATGAAAGTTGTTCTGCTTCTAGACCTCAGCTGAATATAGAAGTGGTATAATTACCCAGATGTAACAGTGACCTAGGTAATTAGCCTGTTATAATGCACATCTGTGTATTGGATCCAATATTGTGACCAGGTGATTTGCAAAAGTTAATTTAAGGTTTCATGCATTTGCAAATCAAATTAAGTGGACTAGCATTCTGCAAGTACTTTTGCAAGAATGGTGAAACTGCAAAAATTTACAGACAAAATATTGATCTTGTGTCTTTATTTTTGACAAGAAGAAACTAGGTAGGCAAACAATAAACCAGAAAACCCAAAATTTGGAAATCTGACCCTGCAGAAGTTACTCAGTAGTGTCATACTCAATTGACTTAACTGACTGTTCCATCTGGGGAGGTTAATGCTGAACATGTAATTGTACAAGAAAGAAGTAGCAAGAATGGTCACATTTGTGTTGATTGTTCAGTGTCACAGGTGAAATAGTTAGATGGGATAGAAAAGCCATTACTGAAAAAAATCTCAGTGTGTGAAAGGCCATCATCTTCTCCAACCGATCATCTTGCTGTGCCTCTTGGTGTTTCTTACTGTGTGTACAGTCTCTGTGTATTTAAATTGTAGCTATGAACTTTCTGCATGCATATCACTGCCCAGTAAATACAGTGTTAATATACTTAAAACTGATAGGTACTGTACATGTTCAATATTTGTGTATACTATTTAGAGTTGTAAGGTATCATTTGATCCTTCTCGGGCAAAATATCCCAAATATGGTAACAAGCTAAATGTGTGGGTTATAATGTTGAAGCTTATGGAATACCTTTAATGTTTGTTCAGATAACGCAGTAATCATCAGTTACAGAGGATTTTAATGCAGGTCTCTGAAACATTCACAAAAACATGTTATGCTCATTTTTTTGTGAACTGTTAGAGACAGAAGTTTAGAAGATAGTTTAATCTGCAAATATAATTTTGTAGGAAAATGTAGGAAGATTTTTTTTTTTTAATAATAGCATTATAATAACTTTTTTTAAGTTAATTCTCTTCAGCATTTAGATTTAGGGTTTTATTTTAAATGGCCAGACTGTGATCTGGGAGAACAATTCAGTGAGATAAGGAATTTGTTATTAAATTCCACTTCTGCTTGAGAGCTATTGCTTTATTACAGTGCGTAGTTAGTGACGATTGGGAGCTCAGGCTTCCCACTTGATAGGAGACAGCACTGTGGTACCCCAATGGAGTTGCACAAGTTAGTTCAAGGATACTGTTGGCAGGCTGGTGTCTTGAAAGTGGTTGCGCAGTATCATCAACAAGTCAGCTACAGCACTGTTGGAGTTAAGTCTTAAATCTGAGTGGTGATATGACAAGTGAAGAAGAGGGATAGAGAGCAAAAAAGTTTGAGAGAAACAAATACAGGAGAAGGACAGGTTAAGAAGGTATTCTAGTTTTCTTATAAAAAGGTATTTTCTGACCAAATATCTAAGATGATCCAGGCAACCTCCAGCACAGTGCTGGATCACTTGATGATCTCTTCTGAAATCCAACTTTAATTTCTGTAGCTTCTTTTCATTGATTCTAGGTTTAAATTGAAATGCTGTTATTTCTAAAAACTGTGTCAAGTTGTTCTTAGTTTCTTTTCAACATTCAATTTCAGTTTGTCTTTCCTCAAGTAGATTCTCAAAAGGAATCATAGACTTACAGAATACTAGGTTGGAAGGAACATCAAGGATCATCTGGTCCAACCTTTCTTGGCAAAAGCCCGGTCTAGATAAGATGGCCCAGCGCCCTGTCCAGCGGAATCTTAGAAGTGTCAAATGTTGGGGAATCCACCACTTCACTGAGGAGATTATTCCAGTGGCTGATGGTTCTCCTTATGAAAAAATTTGCCTCGTGTCCAGTCAGGATCTCCCCAGGATTAATTTGGGATTACCCCTCATCTTTTCCATGGGACTCTGTAAAAAGGGAGTCTCCGTTGTCTTTGTAGCCACCCTTTAAATACTGCAACATGGTGAAAAGGTCTCCCCTAAGCCTTCTCTTCTCAAGGCTAGACAAACCCAATTCTCTCAGCTTTTCCTTGTATAGCAGGCTTTCCTGATAACATATCACTGGCAACAAGATAAAGAAAACAATGTGAAAAGTTCTGAGGAGCACAGATAGTAATAGCTACAGTTTGTCCAGGTTAAAATTTGTCAAGGATTCTTTGATCTTTGCTGAATGATTTCCTGTGTTATATTTCAAAACAAAAAACTAGCTCTGAGAATTGTGAAGAGCACCTTCCCTTGCAAAGTACTACTATGTTGGGTTTTTTCTTGCTATAGTCAGGTAGCTCAAAAGAAAGATAAGAACTTTGCAATATCTATACCCTGTTTCAGTAGAGATCCTGAGTGGTGGAACTATGTCTTTAAATGTGTTCCAGGCATGGGAAGGAAAATAGCCTTGTGGTGAAACCCAGTGTGTCCAGGGAGAATTTCCCCATGGCTGCCTTAGCCTCAGGGTTGGAAAAGTGCTACTACACTTTGTGATGTTGAGGTATCTCTGTGTGTATATTTTTAAAGACACATTTAGTAATTTGACATGCTAACAAGTAGAACAGTGTGTGAAAGTAAGTGGGATTCCATATCTTAATGAAGAAGATGTGAACAGCAAGGCAGAAAGGTGTAAAGCAGCATTCTGGTTGCTGTGTGGGTAGGAGTGCAGTGTAAAGCTGGTATGCCTGGAGCAGCTACAGTCAATAGTGATTTAATGTTGTCCTCTGTTTGCCGAGTTCCATCAGAAATGGTGTGCTGGTAAGTTGTACTTGGGGAAGGAGACCCACAAAGAGCTCTGCAGTGAAGAACTGCAACAAACTGAGTGATTGCTTGTTTCATCTAGCTGTGAGGTTTGTCCACAATAATTTGAGAAACTCCTGAAGGGAGTTTATGATTCCATGTAGGTAAATGATTGCACTGTAGAAGTGGACAGAACGTATTTTTACAGTTATTTCTCTGTATTTTTCTTACTTTTTGACCTCCCTTACAGGTGGTGGCAACCCTTAGCTCAAGGATACTGAAATCTTAAGCTAAAGTTGTCTATAATTGAAATGTATCTCACAATTAATGCCTGTAAGATCCTTTAATTTGACTAGCTTATTACACATATCTTTTCCTTTTCCAGGTATAATGGACAAGTACCAGGAGCAGCCTCACTTGTTGGATCGCCACTTAGGTGGGAATGTCATGTTTAAATAATATACTTGAGAATCTAACTAGAAGTTCCATATTTGCATTACAAGATTGCCATGGTTGATATTACTTATATGTCTATTATCTCCCTCTTTATTATTAGAAGTATGAGAAACTGTAAGCTAACTGCATGTAATATCACTTTTTTCCTCTCCTTTCATTAGAGTGGATGATGAATTCCTTGTTGGATATAGTACGGGACAAGGGATCTCCTCCTCCGCTAGTGCACCTGGCTTTTAAATTTCTTTACATCATTACAAAGGTAAAACCCCCCAAATTTAACATGCTGTAACTGAAATGTGTAAGTCTCTAATATTTTCTTTGTTGTTTAAACAACTTTAAAACATTTCATGTTTTCAAAAATAGTAGAATAAATAAAGAGATAATTTTCTAAGTAAAGCTATGAAATGTTTTAAATTATACTGTGAAGGATTAGTTCTTTTTTTTATTGTTTTCATGATAGCTTATGCTATTTAATGATCCAGAGTAATAAAAATCAAAGTCTGAATGCAAAAAAAATTGCAGACATCAAGATACTGAGTGGTAAAACGAGTCCTAATGTTAAAAGAAGAGTAAAATATGACGAAGAATTAGATGAGTTGTGGAATTTCAATGTGAGCATAAGATGACATTTTTTTACTGTGAGGGTTGAACACTGGAGTCGATTGCTCAGAGAGGTTGTGGTGTCTTCATCTCTGGAGATACTGAGCATCCTACTGGACACTGTCCTAGGCAGCCTGCTGTGGGTGACTTTATCAGGAGAGTTGGACTAGACAATCTCCAGAGACCCCTTTTTTAAAGAATTATCATTCAATTAATTCTTAGTAAGTTTGTAAAAACATAAAAATCTCAATATCCTTATTGTTCTTACTACATGAGGATCATATACAAGAGGCTCCTCAGAGGGTCTTTTCTTGTTCTTCAGTACTTGATGATGCCAGATGCCTTACTAAATTTTGAAACTTTCTGTTATAGGTGAGAGGCTACAAACTTTTCCTCCCACTGTTTCCTCATGAAGTAGGTGATTTACAGCCAGTTTTGGATATGCTTGTAGACCAGAATCCAAAAGACTCTGAGGTGAGAACTTGCTGTACTCTTTGTTTAACTTTTGTGTCCCCAGCAGAAAAAGCTGATGAACAGTGCAAGAAAAAAATCTGAAAAAAAGTGTATAAAGTAGTGATACACCCTATCTGGTGTTAACTGAACATCTGGATTTAGTGCGAAAGTCATCTTGTCAGAAGAGAAATGTCGTATTGAAGGAGAGGTCTTGTGTTTTTCTTTTGTGGGATATATTTGAAGGATTTGGAAGTGATGGCAGTAGAGGAGCAAATGAAATCTTTAACCACTCATAAAAGGGAACAAATTAATTGAAACAACAGTAATAAGAAAGGCAGTGAAAGAGATTTAACTTCTAAAAGGAGTAACTGAGAAGTCCTCTTCCTGCTATGCATATCATTAATGGTCATGTTAATTTAGGTTGAAGTCATAAAAGTAAATCACAGGAAATGGAGGATGTAGATTTATGTATTTATTATTTCATAATGTGAAGAGGCTGTTTTGGGGTTTTGTCAAAGTTGGTATAGGAACTATTATTTTGATGAGGAAATGAAGATGATAGTTATTTTTCCTTGTTTAATTTCATAAAATGTTTTTTTCTTCTTCAACCCCCCCCCTCAATATCTGTCATCATATCTGTGAGGGGTTTTGTTTTGCTGTTTTTTTTTTTGTTGGTTTGATTTGTTTGGTTGGTTGTTTTTTTTTTTTCTTTTCTTTTTAAAGGGGGGAGGTGAAGACTGGAGAAAATTGCACAGTTATGGCGTGAGGCATGAATTGCTTGGATTTTTGCCTTTTGATAATATATTCCTGGGAATGGAAAAATAACACGGAATTTAAGATTTTTTTTTTTTCCTACCTGTTTGTAGTTTGAAAAACAGGGCAACACCACTTCATTATATGTCCTGATTCGAAGTTTTATTTGGCTGGGAATGTTCTTGGCAAGAATTCTGATTTGAAAAAATATTTAAGCAAAGAATTTTTAAGCATGTATTGAGATCATAGAGTCATAGAATGTCTTGAATTGAAAGGGACCCATAAGCATCATCGAGTCCAACTCCAAGATAACATAGTTCATAATCTTATATTTTTAAATAAGGAAAAATAAGAATTCCAGAAGGCTTATTAAGATAAATGATTTTTAAGAGAGAATATAATCTATTATAAGTAACAAAAAATCATGGATATGAAGACAGTAATTGTATTGCTGCTCTAAATTAAAACAATTTTTTAATAAACATTATAAGTTCTGACCACTTTGCTGTTGTTGTACATCTTTAAAGCTTGTCAGAGTTCCTTGCTGTCTGTCTGTCTCTCAAAACACATCTAAAGTTGTTTCAGTAAACCCATGAAAGCAATTCATAAGAAATTAGGAAGAAGAACACGTTTCTCTCATATTTGTGACTGGAGGCACAGATGGACTGAGGGAAGGAGAAAACATGAAAATGGCAACATGCAGTTTTCCTTTGGGAAGGAAATAAACTTCTAGATTTCAGATTGAGAGGGGAGGGTCCATTCATTTTGTTAGTGTTCTCCTGTTGGGAATCACTTGTAGTTCTGTCTCCTTTGGTGTTTCCGAGCATTCAGGTTCAGAGTTTTCTCTTCATCAACTTAATTTGAAAGTTCCTTGGAGCTAGCGGATAGTTTCTGTTCTAGGCGCTTTGTTGGAATATGTTCCAGAAAATGGAGTGCATATTTTGTTTTACCATTCTTTTCCAGACTTGGGAAACTCGTTATATGCTTTTATTATGGCTCTCCATGATATGCTTGATTCCTTTTGATCTGGCCCGTTTTGATGGAAATATTATTTCTGAGGAAGGGCATGCTCGTATGCCAACAATGGATCGCATACTTAAAATAGCTAAAGTAAGTGTAATACACCTTGTAATACTTTAAAGCCTGTGATATTTTTCTTACACTTCATCTTTCAATATGCAATAAGTTACTGTCTTTTCAGAATATTATTTGAGCCCATATTTTCTTATCTAATCTGTAAAGAATTTCTCCATAGTTTTGGAATCTTCAGTGTGTTCGTTGCTGTTTTCGTGTCAGATGAAACACTTCCTTTTCCTGAAGTAATAAACTGTCTTATTTTATGACTGTCTGATACGAATCCGTGCCTTTGATTATGTTAACAGCTTTTAACATATGAAAATACTAGTTAGCTTTTTCAGAAAGTCAAGTTTGATTCATGTAGGAAATTATAATTCTGTCAGGATGAGTAACACTGGAAGCTATGACTGCTTGAAGAATTTTCAGTGAAGATAATAAAGTTTCACCAGGCATAAGATGAAGTGGCTAACTTTTCATCCCTTTAAGATAAAAATAAACAACCACCCCCTCCCCATAAATACCTGAACAGTTTATGATTTCGATGCTTGCAGCACTTAAGTGGCTTATCATTTGTAGGCATGTGGTAGCACAAATATGACTGTAAGTTATGGTTTCAGTAAAGGTAAACCTGCTTTGAAAGATGCTAGAAGGGAGATTGTGTCTAAAATATGGTTTGTTATGGGAAATTTAATTTTTTATAATCTTAAACTCAGATTGTAATAATAATGTTTGTAATCATAATTATTAAGTAGTATATTAATGTACAAAGTTGTTACCTAGTTGTTTTTAAATCTACATGTATGAATTCTTTTACAGTTAGTTTTCTTTTACCTTTAGTGTTACTTGATTGTCAGTGATAAGGCTCGAGATGCAGCTGCTGTACTGGTTTCAAAGTAAGTCTCTTTTGTGCTTCTTGGCAGAAAGGAAAAAAGCTAGTTCCCATTTCTCCTGCCATTTTTTAGTTTGACATACTACTAATGACAGCATTGGGAGGACTGGAAGTTGCCAACTCTGTGTGGGATGTTTCACTTGCTTGAATCAGATCTAATAGTGTGTTTATTATTGGACATACCGTGTTTTCTTTTGCTTACTAGAGGAACAGGTATCTATCACAAGTGATACAGATCTTCACTGTTGACGAGATACTGTTCAGATTGCCTTCTAGGGATGGGTTTGTGATGCAGGGTTTCAGAAAGATAGAGTTACCTTGTCTTGCTGCTGACATTTGCTGTGTGTTGCATGGTTTATTACTGGCTTGATGTTTTATAGCAGTACTTAAGTTACGTGAAAGGAAATAGTAATGCTAGAACTTATTTCCTTAATATCCCTCTTGTCACTTCCTTCATTCTTTCATCCAAAAAACAGTGCTTCTGTTTTCTTACGGTTATTGTCAAATGATCAAATGAAACAGGTGTAGGTTAATGAAACTTTCTAAATATCATTGTTTTACACAGTTGATGTTCAGGCACTGAACAATTTGTGATAGAGGTGCACTTGTTCTGACATTTTTTGCATCACTTCAGTAATACCGATGCTAGGGTTGTTTTTATAAATTTGGAATAACGAACTTCTGTATCTGTTCTTTCCTCTACTAGTGCATTAGTGGAGATTTGGTTTCATTTGTGATGCATATGAAAATAAATTACAAAGACCATAAACTGTACTAGTACACACTGTCTTTTTTTCAGTATGTATCACAGTACATATTCCGATATATTCTAGTGGAAGGGGGATTTGATCAGCTCAGTTTGTCATTTGGTTTTTCTTTCTTTTTTCCTTTGTTTTAAAGCAAGAAAAACCCCAGAATCTTTACACTACTGTATACTCTGTCTACACTAGGGGGCTCTGCCAACACAGTTTTGCCAGGGTAGCTATAGGAGCAGAGGCTCTGTAGGGTGAACAAGATGAAATTATGATAGTGGATGTGGGTAGCTACTCTGAGCAATAAAATCTGTGTTAAAGTTTTTCTCTGGATTAAGAGGCATGAAATTTGTGGGACTGATTGTATCAAAATACTTGTTAAATGCAACATTAAGTAGAGCAGATCCTAACTGTCTTTTTGGGAAATAACTGTCCATGTACTTATTTAAAATCTGTTCTGAACTTCAGTCATGGGACTTAATGCTTTAGAAATTTGATTTTATTGAGTATAAGGCAACAATTCTGAATCTGATGACAAAATAAAGAATTTTTTTGTTTTAGAACTAACAGTGTCATGTGGAAAATTCGTGAAGGAATTGAGACTAGAATCATAGTTCTCTGGTGACTAATCCTGTACTTTTCTGATTTACTCTGAAATATTTCAGGGCAAAATTTAAGTGAATGCATGAACCATTTAAATAGTCTTTAATAAATAATCTTGCCTGTTACATACTTATTTCCATGTGACAGAACGTAGGTTTGTCTCCGTATCATAATTAGTTTTTTGCAGTAATTTTGGAAGTGATAATTGGAAGTTGTTTTTCTGGGATTTTTATGTATCTGCATTGGTAATGTGCTTTGTCACAAGTTGTCAGAAGCAGAGGATTTGAGGTGAAAGTGTGACATAGAGTGAATTATTCTTGAGCATTCATATGTGCCTGTATGTGTCTATCTTCTTCACTTCCTAAAAAGCCAAAAAAACGCCCAAATCAACCAACTGTGATAGGCTTTTCAAGGTACATCCAGTATTTGGAAGCATTCTCAAGTAAGGATGACTAATTTTAGAAGATTCTTTCATTACATTGTACTAATTGATTTTGCACTTCATTTGTACTCCAAGGTATTTGTAAAACTAAATTACTAGTGAAAGCATATATACAGTAATGTGATTGATTACAGCACTGCATTCAGCAAAACTTCATGTTTATGCAGTGCTCAACCCTGGATTTCAGGGGGATTTCCTAAGTGCTTGTCATCCTAATGCAGCATACTATACAGGCATATTATTAGCAGTTGTCTTATGCTCTCTTCACCTCTTGCTTTATTGGCTGAATTAATTCTTATTAAAAATATGTATTTGTAACAAATAAGGGGATAGAATACATTAAGGTGATTGTAGTACCAGCTGTATCAAGGTGTGTAAGGCTCTAATGGGAGCAAAATTACTATTTAATGTGCTTACAATTATTGAGTTTATTATGAAAACACCAATTTCAAAATAGCATAATGATTAAAACACTTCACCAGGAGTTAGAAGACTCGGTCCAAGGCCTTTTGGCGTTGGTGCACTTGAATTCATTGCTTTCACATCCCAAAACAGTTCATTAATGAATGGGTATAGTTATTCTGAGATGAGATCACTGTTTGATCTTCTTGAAGTTAGACTGTTGGGTAGGCAGGAATACAAAAGTCTTAGGACAGACAGATAAGATACAGGAATCTAAGTCTGTAACACGCCGAGTAGGAAATTCCTTGGGGAGGAAGAGGAAGTCTGGGTTCTGGTTCCTGCTCTAAGGAGTTTATGAATTTCAAGTGAAGTTTAGAAACATTAGAATCCAATATTTCCTGTTTTCCAAAATAATTTATGTTTCATAGGGCAAAGGAGCTGGAGTTTGTTTCATGAATTCTCTTTTTTGTCTGCTCAGTGACCTGGCTGCAGTAGGAGGAGATGAGGTTTATCCTTATCTTGCTTGTAGTCTAGAGGTTAGGGCGCTCCTTTGAGAAATTAAGATTTAAACGCCTTTGGGCTGAGAAGGGGTCTAGGAACCAGTTCATCTACTTTACAGGTTAATTCTCTTACCTCTGTTATTGTGCAAAAGCAGGCTTTGTCCTTGCTGCTCTGTTATAAAACAGCCCCCCACCCCCCAGATAACTCCTGCCCCAATCTTCATTGTTCTCTTGCTGAACACAATAGATACTGACTTTGAAGACAATTCAAGTGATCATATGTCAGCACACTGTTACCTGTGTTCTCTGTGTTTAATATTCCCCATCAGTTAGCTCTTGGTGCAGTTCCCCATTTAATTTGTAGGTGTATAACGTAACCAGATACAGGCTCTGCATACATCCTTCTTTAAGTGCTATGGATTGTACTTTGTGGGCTTTCCCATGTACCTTGTTTCCTTTGATTGTATTGAGAACAAAGTTTCTTAATTTAGTCTGAATCTCTGCTGGAACAGGACCCAAATTTTTAGGTGCTAAGAATACTGAATTAGATAACTGAAGCAGATGCCCTGACTGTAGCTTGGCTGGCGCTGATGGTGACTGAGTATAGGTTTACAGAACTAGTTTAACCATGGTGAATCTATTGCCCTCTCTAAGATGGGTAAAAATGCATCTCTTGACCCATCCATTGTGCTAAATAACAGGTGCTTGACCTTATCAAATATCTGAAAAAACAAATATGGCACTAATGATTACTTTTTACATGCCTGGCTGATAACAGAGTATGGACCAATTGTTGATTTGCACCAATATTTAGATTTGCAGAATAGCTGTTCCTGGTGAGAATGGTGTAGAATCCTCATATTGGTTTCAGGTTTTCACTAATTCTGATGGAAATAATTTTTATGTGGGACCTTTGGAAAGTTTGTTACTTTACAGTTAAGATGAGAAATCTCTAGAATCCAAGTTCATAGATTGGTTTGAAGTGAAAATGAAATTCTGGGTCAGAGCCTTGCTCAGAAACAGAAGGGCTGAACATATGATGGTTTGGAGTATTCGCACCCTCAGTGATTTAGGTAAATACCCATTGGAAAATTGCTTTTAGGAACTGCAAGCAGTTTGGATAGCAGGAAAAATTATTCATTAAGAGTCATAAAGTTAGTAACTGCAGTGTTTTGTGTTCTTCTGTGACAGATTTATTGTCCGCCCTGATGTCAGGCAAAAAAGGATGGCAGACTTCCTGGACTGGACACTTTCAATGTTATCTAAGTCCTCCTTCCAGACCATGGAGGGAACCGTTGTTATAAATGGCATGCTCCAGGCCCTGGTAAATACTGTTTTTCCTTTAAAAGATGATTGTATTTATGATCACACAATACTGTTATGGTAGACCTTCAATAGCAAATGTAAGAGATATTCCTGTTTATTAAAAAAGGGTAAGATTATACACAGATAGAATTTCCTCCACAACAGTTTTTAAGATGTAAATTTCCATGTATGTATATTTTCTTTAAGTATTTTTGTAATCACCAAATAAAAGTGAAGTTGCTGGTATAGATACTGATAAATCAAAAATGCTTTTAAATATATGATTGTATATTAGTAGTCATTTCAAAATTCAGTTTGGGTTGGTTTATTTTGCTTTGAAACTGTACAAAATTAAGAGATTGGGCTTCTGACATAGTGGTCTCCCCTAGACAGTTCAAAACTGATAACCAAAGTCCAAGTGATTCTTCAAAGTTGTATCCATTTTTTTTCAACTAAAATATTGTTCTCAATAGTTTTAATAAGACATACTAAACTTGTTAGACAGCGACCTTCAATAGTGTGAAAAAATGCACTATTTCCTGTGGGTTTACTCGCTAATCTGAAGAAGTTTTTCGTTTAATGCTCCTTACCTTGTGAAGTAACAATAGTTTATGATTCAAAGAGCTGAACTCTTAGTTTGGGTTTTAAAATTTATGTACTATGCATGGGAAAAAATCTGTAATACCTGAGCTACTTCTATATGATAGCACTCCTCTTGTACGTTCTAAGAATATCTTTTTATAAAAGCTTTCTTGTAATTTTACACCCTTAAAAGTGTTGGTGTGCATTTTGAAATACTTTGAATAACAGTTCTGGTATCTGTTCCAGTTTTGATGTTTCAATATATTTGGGTGGAATGGGGGAGTTTGTGTGGGTGGAGTTGTTCCTTCTTGGTTTTGTTGTTGACCAAGATTGAGGTAGTGCAAGCAAAGTCCGATGAGATGCACTTGTGTAGTCTTTGCACAGGTTTAAGGATTTGCTGGTGTTTGTACGAGTTTCTGTAATTTGCATAAATTTTCTGCTCTTTTTAAATAATTGCTATGAGGACTTGTATGCAGTGTGTTACTGAACATCAAAGCAAAGTTCTGGAACAGGTGTGTGGTGTGTGTTTTGGTTGATTTGTTTTGTTTTTTTTTTTTTTTCTCTAGCACCTCTTCCAAATCAGAAGATATAAGAAATGATCTATATTTAGAATAACTTAGGACTTGCTGCTTAAGCAGGAGGAAGCAATATTTGTATGCATTGCAGTATGTTTCAAAAGACAGAATGATGTTTCATCATTTTATTGTCAGATCTGGAAAGGGAGACTGACTGCCATTCTAGGTGCATGATGAGACCTGTAGGATGTATAATACATTAGTGTTTTGTCATAATTCCTTTGAGTTTGGCTTTGGCTCTATCCACCTGTTCATTAGTGCATACTAAGCGAAACAGGTGAATACTTAACAAGTAGAATCGAAACTAGAATGCGATACAATATACCTGGAAGCAGAAGCCTGCCTTCTTGCATTTATATGACATTTTCCTTTTCTCTAGGATAGGAGAAGGTATTTATCAGGCCAGTTTTATTTGTGTCCTACAGCTCATAACTCCTGTTCCAGTTGGTAGGTATGAGCAGCCTGGATTTTTTAAAGCCTTTTCTTGCATTCAGTCTTCAATTTTTAATTTCAGTTACTACAATGTAAGCATGAATTGTATCAGTAGGGAATAAAGGTTTTCAGAATGATACGTATGCAGGTATGTGTGTATGCAGACATGCTTAAGTGGAGTAGGAAATACTTATTTCAAGAGTTTAATATTCAGAATTTTGTAACACATTTGTAACAATAGCGTGTTGTCAAACCAAAAGTATCAGCTGAAAATAAAAACAGTGTTTAAAATAAGTAGACCTTTACTCTTAAACATAAAAGTTTCTAACAGTCTGTACAGAAACACAGGAAGTAATTACTAAGTGTGTAAAGCAGAACACATCCTCATGAGAGACGACTAAAACTGGTGCCATAAAGCTTCAAAATTCTTTGCCCTTGGATTCGTCCAGTGCTTTGTTACTTTGAGAGTCAAACTGTAGTTGCCTGGGCATTTCTGTCTGAGAAAGCAGGAGAAAAAAGACCATTTTTCTGTTTCTGATCAGTACAGCAAGGCAGGTTTTGGGAAAGTAACCCACCAGGGTGGGGATAAAAAGTCTTTCTCTCTCTTCATCAGATCTGTTTAGGGCTGCCCCTAGCAGGGTGGATTTCAGCCAGATTATGATATTATGCTGCTGATGGTCTGCATTTAGGAGAGAGTTTGTAGTGAGATCGGCAAGGAAAAACTGTTTTAAAAAGACATGAAACTCTTGCATTTCAATGAACTGAAACTGCAAGTTAGGTACGCAATGAGTAGTTCGACGTTGCTGCACTTTGATCTGCCTCTTTGTGGCCTTAAGTCTTGGTGATTAGGTATGCTACTGTTTAATCTAACTCAGCATTATGTGTAGAACAAGTACTACTGTTTCATGATTCTTGTTGAAACACGCAGCCTGCATTACATATTTTAATTCCACTGATGCTTTTTTCTTTTTTTTCTTTACACCTGTCGTCAGTAATATATCATTTCACAACAGGTGTGTTCTAGCAGAAATCTTTGCTTACAGTATTTCAGATTTGGTTTTAAAACTGGCCTCTCTTGATAAAACTAACTTTGCAATATTGAAATAAATTCTGTTTTGTGCTCTGATACTTTGTATATTTGAAGGATTATAAATGTTGGTTTAATAAGGAATTGCTACATTTTTTTATAACATTTGTTTACTTGAAGGAAACTTCTAACCTGTTTCACGAATCTGCATTTCAAATTCTCTTGGTCTGGAGGTTTGCTTTTAAACCTGCCATTATATCAAACAGCTTTTTAGTTATTGCTGCAGGGTGTAGCACTCCCAGTTCTTGCGTGACAGAGATGTCATCATGTTGAGGTAGCCTTGGGCATTGAAACTTATTAAACCTTATTTGTTTTATAAGTGATTCAGTATACAAGTGTGAGTAATAATTAAAAAAAATAAAACGCCCTACACAGTGATCTGATGAAACTTGGGAGTCTTAAGAACAGGGCATTTCCCTGAGCTGTCTCTAATGCAGAAGTTATTTAGCAATAGCTACATGCTTATGTAAATTTTGCTCCAGGGAAGAAAGAACTCTCTAACTCTATTCTTTCAGACCCAGAGGCACAGAAATAGAATATTTCCAAATAGAATGTTTCCCAAGTCTCTGTATTTTTGGCATTCTTGAAGAATTAGCAATGCTAGGATTGTCTTTTGGTGTTATTTTTTTAAAAAAGGTGTTGTTGCTTAGTGGTTTGGTGATAAAGGTGTACAAAAGCAGTGTTGATGTAAGGAGAAGAAAAAAAGTTCTTATGTCTGCAGATGCCAAGGACACAGACTCCTTGCTGGTAATATTGTTATCCCCTCTCTTTCTGGATGGCACAGAGTACTGTAACGTGGCCTTGTCTGATACTTCTGAGTTCTTTCCTTCTCACCAGGTTTGCAGTTAGTTCAAGGTTCAGAAGTTCTGTTACCAGAAGACTGTTTCTTTTTCCTGTTAGAATATAGTGTTGTCTCAAGCTGCTACTTTGTTTTTGTTTTTTTATTTCTTTCACATATTTCAAGTGTGTGTTTTGGGGTAGTCTTGTTAAGAGGGAAGGGAACCATTCTTTTACCTCTCCATGTGTTAGTCTAAACTTTTCAGGCTTTCAACTGCTGAAGAACTAAGATCTTAGGAAAAGTCAACTCCTTTTGCCACCCATTTACCTGGGCTCTGTATTGAAGTTTGTCAGCTGAAGTACCATGTTGATGATCAGTACCCTGACAAATACATGTGACCTATAGGAGGAGTACTGTTTGTGTTGAAGACGTAGTAAGAACAAGGGCTTTATTTAATCTATTTTATCATTATCTGCAAAGATTATGCATTAAATATTCTCTACTTTTAAGTGAATTTATTATTCTGACAGCATGTCCTCCCTCACCTTGTTTACCTCCCCACATCTGGCCTGAAGGCAGGGATGGCTGATAGCTTTCCCTGGACCTGGATTTGTGTGACTACTAGGGGGTGCTCCAGAGTAATGAAAGATATAATTCTATTCTCTTCCCATAGAGACTGAAATTATCCTCCCAATCATTGACTTGGTTGGTTACAACCAGAGGGTAGATTCAGACTTGTGTCTCCTGCTTTGCAGGAAGATATACTTGCTACCAAACAGTCAGGCCATCCTTAATGGTGATTTGTATAGCTTGGGGAACATGTCCTGGAGATGATCCTGATTGATATATCTCATGCAGGTCGGGCCTAAAGTGGGTTATGCAGACAATGGGAAGGTGTGGTGTGTTTCTTCTGTGATTACTAAGAAACTAGGCTTTGTTTTCCTTGCACCATGCTATTTCTAAAGCAAAACCAGACTTGACAGTCGTCATTGCTTGCACACCACTGATTTTCTCTAATTTGTAGGTGGCTTAATTATTTATAAGAGAGGGAGTCACATACTTTTCAACAGTTCAACAGGTTGGGTAAGTTGGTGTGTGCTGTATGTCCTCATTAAAGTGAAGAGACCATGGCGTAACTTTGATTGCCTGGATACTCCAATAGACAGGCTCCTTACTGTCCGTATTGTTAGTTGCTGACACTAAAATGTCTATGCAGGTGGCAAACCAAGCTTATTAATTATTTTGTTTGTATCAGATTTTTTGAAATGGTGTGTCTTGGATGTTTTTCTTCCTCCAAGGCAGGAAGTTTAAGCTGAATACTGTAATGCTGATTTGTCTTTTTTCTATTTTTTTTTTGATGTTTTTTGTTCATGCATCACATACTTCTTAGTATAATCCCTGTAAACTTTAGGTTTGCCAACATCAGTTAAAGTGCTCTTTTATTTCCTCTGGAAAATATATCCACTAAGCTCAAAAGTTTGGGAAATTTGGGCGTGTGAATATTTTGCATGCTTTGACTTATAAAGAAGTAATGAAACTTTTTTCCTTGACATTTCTACAATCAGAAAAAAAACCCCAGACACTGGATTTCCTGCTGTTTTGATTATATGAAGAGTAGTTCTCAACAGTTGGCTATTACCTCTTTACTTCTATAAAAATTGTTTTAAAAATGGCTGTTAAACTTTTCTCTGATGCAGAGAAATACCTGATATGTCACTTGCTGAAGCACCAGTAATCTGGTAGAAGGTTACATCTGAACTGCAATGTACATTTAGTGGGTTCAAACAGAACTTTCTTTTTTTTTTTTTCAGACAGTTGTCATTTTTCAGCTGTGTTTATTCTGAAATCAGTAGGTAACATACTTTAGTGAACAAAACCATGTAAACATTAAAGTCCATTTTTTAGAGTTTCATTGTTAAACTCAGTGTTCTTTAGCAAATTTTTACTTCCCCTGAAAATTTGTATTGATAAAATAAAATCCCTTAATCCATACCTCAGTTGATTTACAGCAGTTGCTACGATGACTTTAACATCTGAAATTATATTAAATCCTTGCAGTATTTTGTTTGAGAATAGACATTCTGAGTTGAATATTAGATGTGAAAACAGTTTGTTATTTAAGTAAGTAGTGAAACTGATGTAGGGAAACAATGTATGTTTCACTTCTTTGTTCAGAAAATAATAGAAATGGTTGTGAAATGGAATCTGTCAAGTTCACTGTTCTAAACTGACTCATAGGTGTGTGAGGCTGTTTTCTTACTTCTTTTCTAAAAAGCATTAAAAAAATTTCTTGTACAATATTTGAAGAGTTTTCTCATTTCCTGCTTGTGTGTTGGTTAATTTCTTCCCACATCTTGCTTAGAGGTTGTACCTTCTAGTTATGTTTCTCTTGGGGAGTCAGAACTGAATTCAGAGTTGGCCTTAAGGATGTAAAAACTCATGGAGAAGCTTGTAGAAAGGTGCCAGAATTTAGGAACTGCGTAAGACTGAGAATACATAGATGTTTTGAGGATTCTATTAAGTTTCTGCACCAGCTCCTAGACATTATGCTGAGAAGTATGAGTGTAGAAATTCAAAAGCATTTGTCCAGGAGCATTCCCAAGGCTATATTAAAAAGCTGTTTCTCTACATTATCACTACTTCAGGAATTATACTGTATTTTGTTTGAGTATGCTTGAATATAGTCCTAATAATCTGGAGACAGCCTGTGTGTGCCTTAAAACCAGTATTTGCTCTTCACTGGGTTTTTGTACGGAAAGAATTAATTGTGAAGGTAAGGTGCTGCAGAAATGCTGCAGTATCTCCTAACATCTGCTACAAACTTGCTATCTTGTGAAGAAACCTTCTGATAGGTTTTTGAAGCAGAACACAGGAACAAAGTTATGAAGAAATGAGCTTCTGTATGTTTCAGCAAAGAGGTAGAAAAATTTTAGAGGTGCTCTAGATTTGTTAATTACACAAAAGATTTACAGATTTTCTGTTGTTTTTTCTTTAGACTCTTTAATACAAGCAGAGTGTTGTTGTATATCTGTGGGAATTTTTATTTTTTTTTTTAATACTGATATGGTATATTGGTAAAATCTATGATATCCCATTTGTTTTGGTAGTTACTTGTTAGCAGTTCTTCTGAACCTGAAGTAGTTCTGTAGCATTACTGCTTTGTAAATCTAGTTTGTAAAGGGTGCCTTACAGTCACCTAGTTACTCATGAAAGCATTAAAAATTTTAAATAATTCAGTATATATTATCAGATTACCCTATATAGCTTGTAGTAGAGTTGATCAGAAGTGCTAATTTAGGATCCTAAAATGCAATTTAGTAACAAAACAAAATAGAATGGGTACATAGCCTAAAGGTGTTTTTATTGCCTTTGTTGCTCTTAACCACACCTGCAGTATGGGAGGCATGTGTGTGTTTGGTATGTGTGAGAAAGTACATATTTTTCAGGTAAGTCTGTTCTTGTTTAACTCCTAGGCATATTTATTGAGGAAGATTTTTCTTCTGGTGAGTGACAAAGCAAGGAAAAATAAGTGACTGAACAGGGTAGCTTTGATGCATACTAAGTGAACTGAGGAAACTTTCAGCGTGTAACATGTTTTTGTCAGGTGTTAATAGTCCATTTGTTTCACTGTAGTGCTGGGGCGTAATGTTACTGGAATATTTAATTGTATATAAAATTATTTTGGAAGCTCTTTGCTTCTTTAAATCCCTCAGCACAGAAATTAAAGGTTGCCTGTTGGAGGTATATTTGTAGCAGGCTTGCAGTCAGAGATTTCTGTAGCTGGTTTTGTTTAGTTTAACATGGACTTCTCAAAAGCTGTTGGAGAAACAGGGTAAAATACCCACCAATTTAGCTTGTACTGTGTCCTGTCTGTCAGCATGCGGTTGCTGCTACTAAGTTCACTCATGTGTGTCCACCTGCCCTGCTTCTTAGCAGTGACCAAAGTGTTGATGTGTACTGTGTGCTGGGTCATCTAAATCATGAGCAAGGCTTGTTCAGTTTGGAGGCATTCAGTGTCAGGAAGTCCCAAACAGGTTATTGAGTTCCCCTAGTTACTCTGCCTTTATTCATGTTCTACAAATTCTGCTTCACTTTTTGGAGGTTCAAAGCAACACGAGCTATTTGAGATAATAGGTGCTGTGCTTGCACCTGTAATGAGCTCATGTGACCAAGCACTGAGCTGGATGGTTCAGATAGCTGAGCTGGCTGAAAACTAGTGCCTTTTTCCTCTCTATTCTTTTTTTTTTTTTTTTTTTTACCCTATTTTTTTTTCTTTTCTCTTGAGTGTTTTTTGGCCAACTCAGCTTCCTGAGTTGCTTGCCTGCATGATTGTATGGGTGGGAGGGGAGGGCTGGGCTACAGTATCCTTGACTTGCATTGACTTAAAAAGAAGTAAAACTGCACCCTGAGACTCTTTTCCTTTTATACTATTTAAATTAGTAAACACTATAGATTATTGCAAGAACATTAAAAAAGTAGTTTAGAACTACATGCTTGATATATTGCACTTTAAAATCTCTGTATTCTCATGTCTGTTTTCCCTATTTTAATTGTAGGCACAGTTATTTAAACATGGCAAAAGAGAAGACTGTTTACCATATGGTGAGTCTGTAATATTCTGATTTCTGTCTTTAAGGCCATTCCAATAAAAAAAGGAAAGAAAGATCAAACTGATAACAAGCGGTGCTATAAAGAGTGAAATCAACAGGGAAGTTATAAAGCATGAAGAATGAGGGGGGAAAAAAGAAGAGATGACAGTGAGGGAGGAGCAGATGCCACTGGGGAATGTTATGTTGGAACAGCTCATGAAAGAATTTGGCAGGTGATCACATTGGCCATTGCTAGAATACAGGAGCTAAACAGAACACATAAACTATAAGATGTGGAAAATGTTTTTAAAAATTCATTAGAACATAAACTGGTTTTATACATATTACTGCTGAAAATTTTGCAGAAAATCTTCAAGTTTTAACATAAGCAAGGATTTTAGAAATCCCAAGTTTAAAGAACTTACTGTGTACAGGACCCAACTGGAATCAAGTAGTGATACTGTTGAAATGAGAAAAAGTTTTTGGTGAAAAGAGGTTATAATGGATGCAAATAGGGATAGGCAGATAACCAGAAGGAGAGCACAAAAGTTTCTGGACAGTGTAGCTTCATGTTGGAATTACGTTCATCTCATGATAAATCCTGGAATATAGTCAGAAGTGACTACAAAATAATAGCTTGGTTTTTATTGATAGAAATAAAGAGAGGTAGGGAAAGATGGTGGCTAATTACAAAACACTACAAAACACCATGTCAGTTTTGTGGAGCTTATCAAAGCAGCAGAAATGTAGTTTGTGCTATTCATAGGAATCAAGCAGTGATGTAAACTGATTTTAGAATGCTTATGATTTCACTTAATGGAATTATTTTGATGTCTGAGAAGAAACGTCATAGATCTAGTGCTGAAAACAGTTTTGTTCTCCCTGTTACTAAGTCTGAGCTGCAGACGCTTCCTTACAAAATGCCTGAGATATAGGTAAAGATGGAGATAAGATAGTGAAGACAAGCAGAATGGAATGATATATGTGCTGTACAGCTGGTCAGGAATGAACAGAAAGTACTAAGGAATGTAGTCACATAGAAATAGCAGCCAGCACTATGGAAGCTTAAAGAGTAATAAGGCTGCCAGATAACCAGAATAATAAACGGTCTAGATAAAATACAGTATAATACAAAATTATGTGATTTAAAAGATGCAACTGTACAACATGTCATAATTGATGCAAAAAACCCGATACTTGGCTTACAACATTAACGCTGCTGGGTAAAATGAGACGTTTTGGCCTATGGCTTATAGAAAGAATATGAAGCAGTTACAAATCTGGTAATAAGAGAAAAATCAGGGTCATACCAGTGAATAAATGTACCATAGAAGAGATAGAATGCTCACAATGAAGAAGCAAATATTCAAACAAACTATTAGGCATAAGACAATGACAAACACATAATATTAAAATTTTAAAATCATTACAGGTTATAACAGATCTGAGGATCAAACAGGAAAAAAATAGACAATTGTCAAAGGAAGATCCTATTTGAAATCTTTTGCAACATAGAACTTGCTATTCCTGAAGCCATCTGCATGGGTCTGTAGATATTTTAGTGATTCAAGAGTTGGCAGGACTTGGAAGATCCTTATATTGATAGATTCTTAATTTTTTTTCTATCTGTGAATATTTATGTTTCTGCAGTCTCTTCCTCTTAAACTGTTAGTCTCTAACTTTTGCAACTGCAAAAAAATCAGTACTGCTGGAACATATCAAAGTAATAGTCATTACTGGCTTTACCGTTTTGTCTGCTTGTATTATTTTACTAATATTTTAGTATGTCAGGATAAACCATAAGCCTTTTTAAAAACTGAGGCGCTTTTTAAGTCATGTCCTACAATTTCTGAGACTTTAAAACAGCTGTTTGGTGTGTTTGTTCTGTTAGTATTTTGAAAACCCTGATACAAGACTTGAAGAGGTTGCGGAGTATTTTGCTGGTATGATTCTATATTTGCAATGCTTATAGCAAGAATGATAGGTCCTTCAGAGTGCAAGTTGTTAGTCTCTATTAACTTAATGATCAGCCTTCAAAACAGTAATTAATTGTTTCAGGCTAAAAATGCAAAAGGACTATTTTATTTGCAACAGGAATGTGTTCCTTGTGAAAATTCTGAATCCTGGAACTTCATACTCATTAATCCAAGATTCTCCTTTCGTCTGTGTTTTTTTTTCACTGTGCTGGACAAATAACTTTGTTACCTTTGATGTGCCCAAATGAAAGGTTTTGTTGCTGATTGTTTACACATACACAGTATTTCTCATGTCTAAATGTTTATGGACATTCATCATAAAAATTTCTGTGCCAGAGGAGTTAAGTTGGTGCTGCCTGAAAATAATAAATGAAGAAAGGGAATGATTTCTTCGTATGCAGAAACTGGCTACAGAGTAAATTAATTAGTTTTCTGACTCCTGGTTCTGCTAGACTACTGAAAATTCTTAGATCCCAAAAGGTACTCGAATGTGTTACTTCCAGTGAGAATTAGAGGCATAAATGCTCTCAGAATCTGGATTCATTATAATTTTCATAGTCAAAAGTAATCCTTAAAGCAGTCCTTCCTGTTCAGTAGGTGAAGAATATTACCACTATTTGACCAGTGTCAAAGCTACAACAAAGTAGCTAATAAGGCATTTGCATTTCAGTAGTACATTTAAACATCTAAATCTTCCAAAGAACTTTCAAAACTTACCAAATATTCTTAGGTTTGGTTTTTTTTTTTTTTAACAGTTTTTCTAGCTTGTTTATTTTCTTTTACAGCTGCTACTGTTCTTGTGTGTCTTGATAACTGCAAGCTGTCACAAAGTAATCAAATGGTTCTTCGCAAACTAGGGATGAAACTTGTTCAGCGACTTGGACTGACATTTGTGAAACCAAAGGTAGCAAAATGGAGGTTAGTTAAAAAAAAAAAAAAAAAAAATCCAAAAGCACTCACCAAACTTAAAAATACCTGAATCTATACATTTGACTACTGGCTTTCTGCCCTCCTAACCTCTTAAAAGAAAAAGAAAGAAATCCCCATGTTACTTGGGAATGAACACATTCTTCATTTGCACTATTTGGAGAAGGTAGATTTATGCTGCTGTATTTAGTTTCCTGTAATTTTTTTTTAGTTTTGGTATGGTAAACTAGTGCTGTGACAAGCTAAATCTTCTGACTCTTTATGTTGCACGTTACACAAGCAGTAGCCTGTTCCTATATAATGCATAACTTGGTAAAGATGGGAAGACAGTGATCTTTTTAACTGAAGTTGATTTAGTACAATTTTGTAAGAATGAATGTAACTTTTTCCATTACATAGTTCTACCCTGATTCGATAGAAAGTTCACAGGGGAAAAGTGGTTTGCAATCCCACTTGTGTTTTGCATATTAGTCAGGTTTTGGTGTCTGGTTTTACTTACTGCCAGAGGGCGAACTCTTTTTCAGATTTCTCGCACTGATATTTTAAAATTGCAGGCTCCCTTGGTGACTATTTTTATTATATTTCTTTTACCAACTTTTGAGAACGTCCTTAGGCATAGAAAATTCTTTTTAGGTGGAGAGTGTACCTTGCCCAATGGCAAAAGTCAGTTTAGCATGTAAAGTATATCTTTTGTAAGAATGTATCTACACCACGGGCTAAATATCTGAGTACAGCTTGGTCAGAATGTACTAAGCTAGCTTTAACATTTAAAAAACAATTTTTAATAAGTTGATTTTATTAATTTTTTTTTGTTGTTTTTTTTTGGTTTTGAAGAGGTTTTTAGGGCATGGGAATTTCGCTTCTCTTTATTGTCAGCAGTGGAAAGTAGGTTATACTGAAACAGGAAAGGGAGATCATGAAAAGGAACCATTTAAATAGTCTAGCTCTTCTCAGCTTGGGAAAGAGACAGCTGGGTCAGGAGGAAGGAGAATGGCATACTTTTCGCTTTCCTTTAAGAAACCAGTAAACAACTGGAGAGCTCTACACTGGGAGGTGTAGTAACTTGACAGGCAGGCTTTATGACAGTATGTAGCTATTTCAGTTGAAACTTAAATCAGAAAAATCAATTAACTGTGTCTTTCTTGTGCAGATACCAGCGTGGCTGTCGATCTCTGGCTGCCAATCTGCAAGCTCAGGGTTCAGTTGTGCAGAATCAAATTATAACAGTTGCTGCTGATGATGCTGACGATGAGGAGGAATATGACATTCCAGGAGAGATTGAAAACGTTGTAGGTGTGTTAAAACTGGACAGAAATCATTGTAATGCCTGCAAATTAAACATATTGGAAAACAGCCTTCTTTGAGCTAAGAAAGTCATGTAGGTATCTGTGCTAATGTGAACAATTGGAAAGACTAAAATTTCAGTCTATTCAACTGATTAAAATATACTATATTTTTATCAAATTATTTGGATTTCAGAATCTCAAGCAGAAACTCAATAATGTAGCATTTGTTGTGGGGTTGGGGGGATGGAGTTACTGAAATATATTTTACTAATTTTATCCTGCAATATGAAAGACCTATCTTGAACCTTTCACAGATGAAACGATGAATTAATATTCATCATGAAAAACAAAACAAAAACTTGTGTTACATGAAAGCTAAAGAATTATTAAATTTTTAAAGCTGTGGTAATATCAGAGGAACAGAATTTTTTCTAGTAGTATGCAGTCGTACAGCAGGTTCTCTGCTAGCTTGCTGGTGGATATGCTATAAATAAATAGGCAAAAACTGCATCAGAAGGCTTTTATAGCTGAACATTCTAATGAGCCACTGAAAAAAAGCACCATGACCTCCATTTTGAATCTTCCACAGCACTTAAAATTTCAAACCAAATTATCTTTTTTAGAAAACAATTTTGACTTCTTTCTTCTTTCTTTGTTTTCAAGTCATACTTGTGTGACAAACAGAACTGTGGATACAAATATTTTTATTTAAGAGGCAGTTATGTTAAGAGGAAAATTAATTTTGAACATTTTAAGAAATCTTTCTGCTGTTAAATGAGAATAATCTGTTTTGTTCAACTAAAACTATCTGCAGAGCAATTGTTGGTTGGACTGAAAGACAAAGACACTATTGTCAGGTGGTCTGCAGCGAAAGGGTACGTTTCTTATGGTTATTCTAAACTAATAAACAACATAGAAATACAGTCTGATGTAATCCGTGATTGATAATTTGTGTGTGTTGTCAATATTCACAGTTACTTCAAATGATTTCAACACAGCTCAGGGTATAAAGATGTTTGTATCTTTTTCTGATATGAAATTGGGCTAGTCTTCAGGAAAACTTCAGATAGGCTTGGAAATAAATGTTCTGGATAAGACTTGATTTGAAGGGTATAAAGTAGCAATTCTTCAAAATGTTTTTTTCTCTTCCACTTTAGAACACGTATTTCTGTGTTAAGTTCACTACTGTGTTTGAGCTAGTTGTTTTAGGGTAATGGTGTTAGGGTTGTGTATTGTCATCTTGAGGTCAGTCATCTTATTGTAAGTTTCCAGTAGCTACATTTTTTTATAGAACTTATTAATCAAATGCAGTACTGATGAATCATTGTATGCTCTTTTCTTTTTTTTTTTTTTTCTTTTAATTTCTGTAGAATTGGTAGAATAACTGGAAGACTTCCAAAAGAATTAGCAGATGATGTGATTGGGTCTCTCTTGGACTGTTTTAGGTAAAAATCTTATTTAACACTTTACATGCATCTGAAACGCCTGCTTATGAAACAGGAGGACAACAGTTAGGAAGACAGGTCTAAAATAAATTTTGTTGCCCCCATTGTCCCAGATTTCAAGATCTTCTAAGGCATGTGTGTGCTAAGGGTGTTCAATAAAGAAATTATTCCTAATCCATCATCTTCACCCCATTCTAAAGTAATGTGGAAGAACTGAAGTTGTACTTCACAAAAATAAAAAACGCTCATTAACTTGCTGCTTTAAAAATTCCTGGTGTGCTCATGTCTTGAGCATTAGTTTGAATCTTCAGGAACATAGTAGGACTGGAAATTATATTCAAAAGGGGTTTGAGAATCACCAGAGATAAGAAGCAATCTCTATGTGAAGGGAGGCTAAAACATCTAGGAAGAGTGAGGAATAAATGGAGTATAATAGAGGTTTATGAAATCATGAATGGCATGGAAATGATTGCCCTCTAGATTTTGTGTTATTAGAAGCAAACTGAAATATCAGGTGGCAGGTTTGGAATAAAGAAATGGTGGTGGTCATTCACACAGCACATAGTTAAACTGTAAAAACTTCGCTTCTTGCTGTCAGGATGTTGTGGATGCTAAGAGTACATGCCTGAATAAAAAATGTTTTTCTTTTCTGCAAATTTGTTCATGATCTGCCAGAGTTTGGAAGTGCTTTGGAGAGTGTTGCAGTATGTTTGTTGTTATACTATACCTAAATCACAGTCAGATGTGACCATGTCAGAGTGAGACTTTCAAGCTAGCTGAAACTCTGATTTGATCACATATACCTACTAGGATGCTCTTCTGATGCTCTGCATTATTGGGTGTTTTGTTTCTGCCTCTGAAGAGTATGTAAGGACTAAATTATTAAACAAGTACCATATGCTTTTTTTTTAATATCAAATTGCTCATCAGGTCTGCTTTGTGTACTTGAGCTTTAAGATCTAAACTAGTGTTTTAGAGTAAGTTAATAACAAAAATAATTTTTTTATTGGCAAAGAATGTTGGTAATTTTCAGTTTGTTTTTAAAAAAATCTCATTGTTTGTGAGTACAGATCAAAAACCCCAGCTCAAAAGATAACACATTAAAAAAAAAAAAGGTATAAAATCTTAAAAACTTGCAAGGAAAGTATCTACTTAGCCAATAGTTCAACTGTGTTACTATGATTAATTTAAGAGGTGCTGCTGATCTCAATTATCCCTGGAGCTTCAAAGACCTGTACTCACTGTGTTTTCTTTCCTTGTTTTTCAAGTCATAGGGATGAGTAATCCCAACTAGTAATTGAGTGACCTGCTTTCTTCAGAAACACCTGGGAACAAATGTAGACAAGGACAAAGGGAATATCTTCTATATTCTTTGCACTAAGTATCTACTGACCAAAATAAAAATGTCAGTTTCTCATCAGAGGCATTTTGTTATTTCTGTTGGGATGAGAAGAAAGGATTACTTATATGTAGATAGATTAGAAGACAAGAGATGGGGAAGCAGTTTTCACTATGTAGTGAGATTCTCACCACAGTCCCACAGGGTTCTGTATGAGCACTGTGCTGTTCAACATACTCATAAAAATGATGGAAAAAAGGTGAACAATGTGGTAAGGAAATCATCAGTTGATTTAAAGTTAGCTAATGTAGTGAAAACTAAAGGTGACAGAAAAGATTATGTTATGTAAGCCTAAGTAACTAGACAGTAAATGACATGAAATACAATGTCTAGTGAATGCAAACTAATGCACTTAGGGAAAAATACAGCTAGCTATAAAACAGTTATTACTACTCAGGAAAGAGATCTTGAAGTCATTGATAGTTCTGTCAAAATGTCAGTGGAGTGCTCAGCAGCTGTCAAAAAAGAAGGGCAGATGGAACACTAGGTATTATTAGGAAAGGAAGGGATAATAAAACTGAATCACTGAGAAATGATTTAACTGATGGGGATTCTTCCAAGTGGACAGTAAAAATAGAGGGATATAATGGAGATATATAAAATCATAAATATGAAAGAAAGAGGGGAAAGTGAGTAGTTATTTACTCTTCACTTTTTCTCATAATGTGAGAACTAGGAAGCATCAGGAAGTACATTTTCATGCAATTATAATTAAACAGTGGAAGTCATTGCCACAGGATGTTATGGAAGCCAAAAGTGTAAAGGGAGTTCAAAAAGGGATTATAGAAATTAATGGAAGAGAGTCCCATCAGAGGCTATTAAGTATGACATTCTGGCTGCAACCTCTGGCTTCGGAAGTCTCTGTACTGCTGATTGCCAAAGCTAGGAGGAGGCTAATAGGGAAATGATCCTTGATGCTTCTTCTTTGGCTAAGCATCTGCTATTGGTCCATGTCAGAGACTGGGAGAGATGAACCTCTGATATGACCTAGTCTGTCTGTTCAACATTTTATTCTTAGATTCCTATGCCTAGTTTAATAGTAAATGAACTTTTTACATGTTTAGTCATGCAGCGTGCAACCTTTTCACTCCTCTATCTACCAGTCCACCAAAAATTGTGTACCATTTTTTATATTTTTTGCTATGTTCACTACAAGTTGTTCTGTTTAGTTTTATGTTTTTTAAGGATGGATAAACACCACCGTTGGCCCACTGCGTAAGCTCATATAATGGGTTTACTGGAAACTATCACTTGAACCTTCTTTGTTAGTTAAGGACTGTGTTTGGCACAAAATTCATTAGTTATTTTGGGTGTGTTCTGAAAAATATGCATCTTTTGCCAGTGTACTAGAAAGTTGTTTTCCTTTTCTAGATGAGTTTTAGGTATTGTACTCTTCTGTGTTGCGGTTACATTTATATTGATAAATGGAGTTTTTGCTTATTTAGTCATGTTTATAGCAGTATGTATGTTGCACAAAATGAGAAAGAAAACATGTTCAACTTGTCATTTTTATATTTTAGAAGTCTAACAGGATTAATAACACAATAAACACATGTTGGTTTGGATTATGTATCTTTTAAAATGTTAGGATTTGACCATGAAGAATGAAATCCCAAAATGAAAGGCTAGTCTTAACAAAACTTGTCTTTGTTCTGAAATTAGTTTCCAGGAAACAGACAATGCATGGCATGGTGGATGCCTGGCTCTGGCCGAATTAGGCAGAAGAGGATTGTTACTCCCTTCCCGAATTTCAGATGGTGAGTTGTAGTTGCTGAATGTCAGTAAATTCATGAATTAACAGTTTATAGTGTTAGAGATTGAATGTGTGGCAATAGACTGGGATTTGCTGATGTGAATGTGCTGAATAATGACTGTAGTATTGAATTCTAGAGTAAAAAATAGGCCTATGGGAATATTTAAGCTACTTCTGTCAAAAGTGTTGTCTTGGGTGTGCCTTTTTTATGCTTAATAAATTTTTCTTTCCAAAAGGAAATTAGTTTCTTGGGGTTTTCTTCTTTCTTCCTCCCTCCTATGTTTCTTCATACAGTTGTATAAAAATAATTCTGTATGTCTCTATATTGTGTCACTGCCATTATTTAAATAGAATATATTAAATAATTGATGACTAACTTGCACTTTAATAGCTTATGCTATTTGTTTCTGATTAAATTTCAGAGGCCAATTTCACATAATTCATACATGAATTGTTTAAGTTTTTAATGGGTTTTTGAAATATCAGGATGGAAAGAAAAACAGGGCAGAGGAATTGTTTCTTTGTGTGTTCTGTACATTGAAGTACAAAGATACTAATGTGAATGTAGTAGTTCTCTGGTTTGTGATTTTGGTCAATTTTTTATAAAATGACAAAAGCATAATGTGGTAGTACACATCCACTGTTGGGCACTTCTGCAGCAGTATCTTGGGCTAGGTGGTTCTTTTGATCCCGTCTGGTACTTCTGTGTTGAACAGAGAAGTTGAAAACTCATTTTCAAAAATGTTTCAAAACTGGTGCTTCATAGCAGTAAGTTAGGTTGACAAATCTTTTTTATTCCAAAGATTTGTTGACGTGTTCTAGAAGAAACTGTAAAATATAATATTTAACACAGTTTATTATTGTCTCCATTAAAAGAATTCATGTCCAATATAGTATTTGTTTTGCATGTGGGAATTTTTGTGCAGCTAGCCTTCAGTTGGTTTCCCTTTTCTAATTACTTTTGCCCTTCTATGATAAAGATGAAACAGTTAAAAAACTCCAACTTTAAGAATGGGAAGCCATTCAAAGGTAAGCCTCTATTTTAGTTCTAATAAAGCTGTATACCTCTCTCAAGAAATGAGGAAAGCCTTGTGTAATACTTTTTTTTGTTGGTTTTTTTTTTGTTTGTTTGTTTTTTTTTATCTAAACTGGAAGTTTCATGCGAATTTGATATTATATAGGACTGCAAAAGACATGAGTGAATCCTCACTGTGTTAGTGATACTACATGCTCTGTGAAACTATCTCTTCACTTTTTAGGTTGAGTTTTTGTATATGTAGAATGAGAATGACAGCTGTATTCTTCACACCCTTCTTTCTCTGCAGAGGTGTGGTGGAAATATATTGCTGCCTGTGAAGGTGATTTTAATATCCATAGGCTTATGTGCAGATTTTTTTATTTGCCACATTGTATATGATGTATCCTTCCTGGGGTGGAAGAATATAGAACTAAGATAGGGGAGGAAGGGAAGGAGAGAATCCAGTCATGGCATCAAGGTCTTTCTGCAAAAGAGGTAGGCATAAAGGTCTGAGGAAAAATTATAGGCATTGGAAGTTTCTTAATAAAACAGTGCTGAGAATTCCAGCAGTCATTCTAGAAGAAGATGGGTAAGAAACCTAATTGGAGACTGTCTTGACTAAACCGCAACTCCTTCAGTTATCTGATACTCAAGAATGAGTTACACAGCAGGTAGAAAGCTATGGTACGGTGGAGGATGAGTAAAAGAGGATAATCCAAATTTGTAGGGATAGAATGTGGAAAGACTTGGACATAAAATAGGATGCAGCTAGTGAATAATATAACTGGTAATGAAAAATTATCTTCATCAAAGTCAAACCTTTATTATTGCTGAGCAGATCTAGGCTGCAGGATAGCCCTGGCACACTTGACATCGCCCCTTCAGTACTTTTTTCCTTTTGCTTTAGTGGACCTTTTTTTCCATTTAAATTAATTAAAAAAAATAAGTATACTAAATACAGTATATTCTAGTTTTACTTGCAAGTCTGCCTTATTCAGTTTTGTTTTATTTAAGTTATCCAATCCACTATTAATGTAGCAATTCAAAGTCAAGTATAATAATTTGGAGAAAGACAAAGGATTGGATTTTGCAAGTTGGAAGAAAACCTAACTCAGTGATGTCAAGAGGAGTTGCGTGGTACTTTGAAAGACAGACTTATGTTCAAATTGTCCTTAGCAATTTCTTAAATCATTTTAAGACCAGTGCAAAGTAGTATTCCTAGTTAGGAGAAAGTAACTACACAATTCAAGATACAGGGAGTCACTTCTAGGCAGAAATTATACAGGAAGGGACTTTAAGAGTTCATGTGGGTCAGCCACATCAATCAACAATTTTATTTATCTCAGTAGAATAAGATGGTGAAAAAGAAGTCATAAACGCAGTGTGGTAATCCATCTCACTTGATACTAATGTTATGACACATAGGGCACTCATCCTAGGACATCACACTTAAATGATTATTTAAAGAAAGCTAGCCTAAAGCAGCAGGAATCATAAGAATAGAAAATAAGACCAACAGGGAAAGAGTGAAACAACCAAGGTTATTTGGTTGAGAGACAAAGCTGAAAGCTTATTCACTTCCTCTTAAAAGAAAACCTTTACTTTTGACAACCATTTTCAGTTACCAGCACAAGACTACAGGTAATGGCTATAATTTGCAGCAAGAGAATAGTAAGATAAGCATTAGGACTGGTTTTCTTATTCTAAAGGAACTGGAACCCTACAATATTTTGTTCATGGACATTGAGTTAGAAATATTTCTACTAGGAAGGACAGAAATATATTTAATCAAGGTATGGAGAGCTGTTTTGGTAGTTAACCTTCATGTTTCCCTTCAGCCCAGTTTTTATTTAATTTGAGAAATGGAGATGAGGTGGACTTCACCACTGGAGCTTGCGTTTATAAACAATATTTATATAGAGATGGTGAAGAATAAATCCCTGAACTGAATGGATAAACCACCAAACAGTTTTTCTTTGTAGACTTAAAAAAATTAAAAACAAGAGACATGGAATTTTTAAAAATCAGGGATAAGGGAAACTGTGGAACTTCCTGTTTCCAGAGATAACTGAGGCAGATATCTTAATGTAGTTAAAAAACAGCAGTGGCAATACTAGACTTCATATTTTCATGTTTGAAAATTATGGATTTTGTAGCATACATCCCTAAGGTTGAAACTTTAAACTTTCTTTCTCCTAGTTTCATCACATAATGATGTACAACTTGATATATCATGCTTTGTTACTGCCTTGCTGTTGTGATTTTAATTAACTGGACTTTTTCTGTTACAATATACCCCTTCTTCAAACTCAGATTGATATTATTGTCTTTTGATAATGTAGGAAAAGCTTTTCTCTGTGAAAGACTAAATTAAAGATTGATGTTGTTACTCTTTTTCTGTTTCTTAGCTCAGAAACTTAACCCCTGTAATTTACTCTTTGATGGTAAACTTCTTACAGTGTTCAGACTGAGCCAGTAGCTCAAAACACCATAGCACAAAAAGTTGGGAAAAAAAAAACCTGGGAACTCTACACTGCATTGAATGCAGCTCCGCTTCCTTACATAGGTTTATACCTATTGTACATTATTACTATTATAGTAATGTTTAGGCAGATGATGGTGTCATATCTGTAGTTTTAAGTGAATAATACTTGAGTCCAGGATTGTTTTACTTAGACTGATAGTGCATACTGTGCAAATTTACATGGGGTATTTATACAGTGGAACAGCCTTATTTTAGTTAAACTTTTATAGAAGTTTTGATAAGCATGACAGCAGCTTTAAGGCAGAGGGAATTCTGAGGTTTGTCATACGGAGCCAAAGTACAGATGAATCAGTCTGCATAATGAACTTCTTTCACTGAAGGAAGCTCCTTTTTTACAGTTGATTGGTAGTCCATGATGAATTCTACTTGTAACTTGAAAATTCAGTTAGCAACTACTTTGCCAATTTTTCTTCAAAATATGTGTTACAGATAGTGTAGTGAATGTATTGGCGTTCATTAATGACTTTCCATATATTTTAAGTACAGGTCAGATTTATTTGAAAAATTGGAAGTGTATATACACAGATATAGAAGCAGGAAGTAGTTTTAGGGTGTATGTAGCAGCACACTGAAACAGGTAATTAGTGATACATGTAAACTGAAATAAGACCTTCACCAGGAGAGTTTGCCTCAGGTGAAATAAATTATATAAATAACCTTTTAGGTTTGGAGTTTGAAGGTTGCCCAGAGTCTGTCTAGCCTCAGAGGATTAGGCAACTAAATTGTTTAGAACTTCATATTTTCAGGATTGTTTTCATAGTAGTTCAGTTAAATGTGAATATAACCTGCATTTGTTAAATTGGTGCAAGCTTTCTTTGGTTAACTTGAATCTTGTTCTTAGCTGACATAAGAAAAGCTTGCTCATGCAACGTTTCAGTTTGTTTAAACTGGCAACCGCCTCTGAGTAACAAAATCTGGTCTGTTGTTTGTATTATGGCAAAATGCATTAATACACAGAGCAGTTCTTACGGTAAATTCTAAATAGCCAGCTTTAATCATAAGCTTACTTAAACTACTGTACAGTGAAATAAGAAGTTTTTCAAAGAAAAAAGACAAAAACCCCTATTAAATGAAAATAAGACTGAAAAGGACTATGACAGCATGTTATTGAACAATATTGTTTCTAGAGCTTAAACATCTTTTAAAAGTTGTAGAAGTCATTTTACAGTAATACAATTGCAAAAACCCTTGAAGATTCATCTAATGTACTTTGGTTTTAGTAATGAATGCAAAAACTCACTCATCAAAATCTGAGCTTATACAAGGGAAAGTTCAGTTACTTAAAAATATTAATATAAAATTATAAACATTATTTACATGAGAGAGATTGAATGTCTCTTGTCGTGGACCAAACCCAATAAGAGGCTGTTTGTAGAAATTTTATGATGTTGCTGGTAACTAGCTTCTATGACCAGAAACTCATTGGCAAGTGAAATATTAAGATACTCTTGTTCTCTTCCTTAAAGTGAAGACTCTGCTACAGTCATTTGGCCTAACTCTTTTAGTGCCTTGCTGTGATTTTGCTGATTCTTTTTGATTTGTCCTTTTTTGTCCTTTTACTTTTTGATTGCACTGCGTATCCTGAGTATCAGAAGAATTAAGAGTAGCTTCTGTACATGAAGCATTACTGTCCTGAGGACTCTGCCCTTCGTTGTCCATTCTAACTTTGCTTGGGCTGTATGCAGCTAGCTGACAGAGAGCTACAGCTGCTGTTTGTTTCTGTTCATCACAGCTGTCAATTATTCTTAAGTCTTGAGCTTCATTAGGGTGAGCTGTGAAAGATTTGTCACAGGCACTGTTAATTGGGTTCTTGGCATTACATGCATCTGCTCCGGAGGTTTCGTTTTCAGTGTTTGGAGAAGTAGCAGCACCATTATTGTGAGATGGACTGTGGAATGAAGTTTTCAGGCTTACTGTGTTACAGGAATCTTTCACGGAGAGGTTCAAAGGCATGTCTTGCAATTCTAGAAAGTTCTGACTTTCTGTTTTGGATGTGGCTTTGTATGCATGCTCATTAATAGGTCCTGTGTTTGTGTCAGCCTTTTTTGAAAGATTAAGGGGAACTATCCCTGTGTCTTCTTCCGTGTTGGACAGTGAGCCTTCATTGTTACGGCATTCGTTCTGTGTATGTGAATCTTCATCAGTGACGTTAATGCTGGAAGAAATAAGGAAAAAAGAGAATTCACTATCAGTTGCTCTTTTAAACTGGGGCTGAGGAGGTGGACGGGAAGAAGAGAAAAAAGTCTGGCTAGAAGTCTGACAATTTTGTTGTTTCTCCTTTAACTCCCTCGAGTCCCTTTCACCATACTCATCACTGTAATACAGGTAATTTCCTGAAATACACAGACACATACATAGTAATGGTATTACAAATATCTGATATACTTAAGGAGAATGAGTGGTCTACTCACTATAGCAACAGTGAATGTACTGTGAGTTGCGCAGTTAATATACAACAAATTATCTCAATGCTGTAAATGTAAATCTGTTTTAGAGGTATTGCATGAAATGTGTCCATCTATCTTTGTGTGTCCCTAGTAAATATGACAAGAATTTGCAAAGTGATTTTATTATTTTACCTGGTAGGTGAATCTCCTCTATCTTGCTGTGTCTGCACACTTTGAAGTAGAGTTGGTTGATCAGTGCTTTTTCTCACAGGTCTGAAAGCTGTGAAGTTTTCTTCTGGCTGATCATACTTGCCAAACGATGTGGAGGATGACTTGTTAGAGAGGTCAAATAAGCCTTCACATGCATGGCTTGTCTGAGTGAAGTTGGTTGGGCTAGGTCTGCCAGGGGAGCCTGTTGCTGCACTTCCTGCAAGAGGGCTCATTTTAGCATTCTCTCTTTCATTTTGGTCATCTTTGGAATTACTTTTGGCATGCAATAATGTAATTTCTTTTTCATAATCTGCTTGTTTTTTATGTGAACTTAGAGGGTATTGTTGGGATGGGCTTAACGAAGCTGGATACAGCAAGGTAGTTTCTTCCATTAGATGAGAATTTTGATCTCTGTTAATACCAGCTACATGTGAAAATCTGTAAAATGGAGGATCTGTTGGCCTACAAAATCCATATGGTATCGGAGGAGTGGAATGATATTGTTGGAACAATCGATAGTGCTCATACGCTGATGGATTTATGGGTTTTGGAAGTGGCCCAGGGTGGGGAAGAAAATGTCTTTGATCTTGTGTGCCATAGACAGACAGAGCAGAGCTTTCACATTCTGAATTACCTGGAAGCAAGTAAGGTGTATAGATAGCCAGCCTGTGCTCATAAAAATGGGGTGAGTACTCAGGAATCATTGGTTGCATGTAAGGTGAAATGGAACCAAAGCCTTTTGTGGGAGCAACTTTATGTGGAAACTCTGGGAGGAAAGGAGAACCTGCTTTCCATGGGTGACTTGGTGCATGAAATGCAGACTTAGTGTGGAAAGGTGAACTTTTGTTAGAGAGCGATATAATTTCAGATACTTCAGAAGTTTCCGGGCCTTTACTATCTCGGTGTTCTCCTACAGGAACAAAAGCTGAGGGCCTTACAATGCTGTCCAAAAGGGGCTGCATGCTGATAGCGCTTTCTGTTGTAGTATTGGCAGGGGTTAATTCCTTCTGAATTGCAGGTTTTTGTCCTTGAATTGTTGTGTTTGTTGCCTGGTTTTGTAATTCAACGTTTTCCTTGGCATCTTCTTTTGCAAAAGGATATTGAGGCTTTGAATCAAGATTTGAGAGTCCATTTGTGACAGATTTAGAAGAAGTTGGTTTGACTGCAGATTCAAGCTGATTGATCTGTTTGGCCTCCAAGGAAGTTGTCTTTGGACACTTGATAACACGATCCTGCTCTGATACTAAAGTAATTGAGTTTTTGCAGAGGCCATACTTCATATGGTTAAAAAGATGTGATTTCTCATTGCAAGTAAAGGGGCACTGAAAGCACTTGTACTTAAATGGCTTTCCTGGTGGTCTTGGGATGTAATGAGGCTTCTTTGGTTTACGCTCTTTGAGGAGACTCATTTTTTTTTCTGCTTTAAACAATTAAACGTAATGATTCTTTATAAAAACTTTCTTGTGGTTAGCCTTCTTCAGTTTTAGCCTCTTGATGTTTCCAGTTTTTCAGGTTTCTAGAGTCCTTTTTCCCAGGTGAAGAGGGGAAGCCAACTCCCGCGGTGTCTCAGAGCAAAGGGGATGCCGGAAAACAACACTTTTGCAACTGGTAGTGCAGGAACTGTAACAAAAAGTTTAAAATTAGCTGTAGTGGAACATTGGAACTAAATACAAAGTAATACATTATTTTAACTGTATACCCCCTCATATTACATATGGTGTGTTGTAGGTTTTTTTTTAAACAAAACAAAAATGCTAGATGCTGAACTCGAGGTAGACATGCATTAAACTTTGTGACATTCTTACACACCTAAACGTAGTCAAAGAAGTGGCCTAATTCTCAGCAGTGCTAGTCACCTGCCACTGCTATTGGCTTGAAGGAGTTTTCTTTGAAAACTGAGGGAACATTCATTCAGAAGATGAAAGTAGAAATCTAGGAGGAGCTGTTGAGAGAGAAGTGGAGGTGGGTAGAATGAGAAGAGGCAGGTCCTGGCAGCAACTGGATATGGGGCAAGCCTGTCAGGCCGGTTGGGGAGAGAGAGGAGGGAATTTCCTGCTTTGGTGAAATGAGGGTGGAGTGGATTGGTTGCACTTGGGTAGCTGACTTGGCTCTTTCAGAGACTGACCAACCCCCTCTTTCAACTGGCATGGCATTTCCTAACAGCCTAATCTCAGTGGATACCTCAAAAGTGGCCAATCTCTCGAAGGATAAAACCACACCAATTTTCTTCCTCTTCCTAATTCAATTAAGAGAAACGAGTACTGTAATATCTGACTAATAGAATCTTCTGCTTGATAAACACATTTCACATTCTTCTGCCGTGTAGCATCCTACATATTGCATATAGTTAACACAGACACACAAGTGTATTAATTCAGGTAAAAAAGTGCCTGACAGTAATTGATTTATAGGGGAATAATCTGTCTGCCTTTCTTCAGAAAAAGTAAGGTTGTGGATACTTTATACAACCTAATGATTTGCTCAGTAGATAAGTCAGGAGGGCTTGTATCAGCTTGTTCCATTATGTTCACTGATTCTGAAGGCGTGAGAAACTCTCAGAGTCAAGTTCTCATGATTTTATAGGATGTGTTATGGCAGAGATCTAAAAACTGATGATTTCATCATGAACTATAAGCATCATTATCAAAATGATGACTGTTGCAAAACCACGTACTGTATCTATTGTGTTACCCGAAACTACGGGAATACTAATTGTAAGAGTGACTAGATAGCTTGATACTTATTTTTTTTAAAAAACAGCTTTTTGCATAGAAGTTTGAATTAGTAACTATAAAATACTAAGTTTATGAAAAGAATTGCTGGTAATTACATGCTGTGAGATTTTAGTTAAAGTAGAGATGTTTTGCATTTCTTAAATCAGAGATTATTTAATAGAAAATGACATGCAACACATTATGAAAACTGAAGGCAAACCTACAGAATTGCTGCTTGTTTCATCAGGTATAGTAATTCTAGCAAATTGTATTAAATGTTGTTTCTGATGTCATAGAAATATTAATTTTGTTAAAATAGTAATTGTAAAGGCGCCTTGAAAAATGCAAAGCTGTTCTGTAAGTAGAAAAAGCAATCAAGCTTTTTCTTAAAATTAACAAATTATTAAATATGCGGTAGCCTAAAGAAAAAGGAATGTGTAGAAAAGTAGTGCTTTGTTTTTCAGGTTTTAGCAAAGCTTTTTTGCTTGTTTGAGTTGGATACTGATACTGTAACAATGAAAAAAAATTTGAATTATACAGCAACATGTTAAAGTTGTCATGGGAGTCTGGTTAAAATGGTAGTTCAGGAAAATAAAAAAAATATCATATAGTGTTTACAAAATATTTTAAATAATGATAGCCAGAATTACTTTAAAATATTAAGAATAATGCTTTTACATAAAAAATAATAAATAAAATATTGATGCATAGGAGGGGAGGTTCAGGTAGGGAACTAGTTGTTTTTTTCTGCCTTCAGTGAGCTTGTTGCATTTATTTTTGAGTAGTGATGTATAACTAACATGAACAGTTTGTAAGGGAGTCGGTCAAGTCAGTTTGTACCTGCTGTTCTTTATATCTTCTCGGAAGTACCTGTACTAATTATTCTTGAAAAAAAGATACTGTTGTCAAAACTCCATTGCATTCTTAGTTAAACCAATTTATGATAACAGTCCGAATTTGCATTCAGGTGCAGCACTTATAATAAAGAGATGTTAATTAGATTTTCTTGTTCTGCTAGCTTTCCTCTGCTTAATAATGAAAATTCCTGTGTGTCCTGTTCCCCCCCACCCCGACTTTGTACTTGGTATTTAACTTTGATTCAAGTTATTCCTGTTCAACAGAGTATTAACTGTTGTTTCTTAATAAGATAAAATGCACTGCTGCAGTTTTAGTGTTAGAAATTTAGAATATTGGAGCTTCTCTGCCATGTGTACAGTGGGAGAGAATTACAGTAGCTTTTTTTATTTATTTTAAAATTTGTTTTGATGGCATGCTCAGCCTGCAGACAGCAGTGTTCCCAGAACCTGCTGCTCGGACTCGAGAGGTGTAAAACAAGCAGCTTATTTTAAAGGATGTTTACCCTTTCGTAAATTTAGGCTAGTGTCAGCCAGATAAATGTTCTGTTTCTCTCTTTTACTACTTAATCCCTTTTTTTTTCTCATGGTTTAAAAATGGCAGTAATAAAATATGTGTAAACTCAGACAAGAAGGATAATTTCTTTTCCAATCTCTAAGTAAAACACAAGAATATCTGGCAGAGTTACATATTTCATAATTAATAAAAACTATAACTACTTGATCCCACACATACAGCCGGAAAAGACATTAATGGTTTAAAATAGGTGCAACCAATTAAAACTGTCTCTATAATAATAATGTTAGTTGCTTACAGTTGTACAATATATGTTTTGTGCTCCCAAAATTAAAATGTAGTATTATAAAGAAAAATCAAAATAAGTAGTTGCTTTTTCCTTAAACTTGAATGCCATATTTTGTGATACCCTTTAAAGATGCAAAAAAGTTCTTCAGTAGCAGGATAATAATTTTCATGTAACTTTTTTTTTTTTTGGATTGAGATTTTATTTCCTGTATACTTGATTTTAGAAGTGCAGATAATTATATATTATTATAATTCTCTCTTTCCAGTTTTGAAATGTAGTAGTGTTATTTATATTTTTATTGGAAACATGCTATTCAGATAATATTGCTTAAACTTGAGGTTGTCTTAGTTGTTTATTGTCAATGGTATACCTCCTCATGGCTTTTTAATCTGTAGCCCTTTCCAACCTGAGACTGATAGCTACAAGTTTTCTTTCTTTTATTTTTAAAAGTATGTTGTTGCTACCTCCTTCCCTTTAACATATTAGCGAGTTCAGAAAACAAGAGTATCGTTTAACAGTGTGCATGTATGTGTGTAGTATAAATATGTAAACAAAAATGTACGTGGGTATAAGTATATACACACACATGCACATATGTATTCATACACACACATATATATGTACATATATATATGTGCATGTTGTTTTTTAGATTTTTAAGTAGTCTAAATTGTTTAAGATGCCTAGTTGATCAAAGAGGAAATTTCAAAATGTCTTTTATTACAAGCAGGGGTGGTAATTATATTTCTTTTTAGGACACTGCTTTAGCAAACTACGTAACAGTTTGTCATGCACACTCCATTATTACTGCAGTATCCTTTTGGTGATGTTGATCTCTCTGACCAGGAGTACTCACTGGGGTGGAACATTTTGAAGGACATGCTATAATTAAAATATTGTGATGTGGCATTATTGCATAACTCAAGGACGTGCCATTGTCACCTACCTAGAGTGTTGCAAGAACGAGATTTGTGAGTTTTATTCTAGCTGAGATTTTCCAGTGATTAACTACCACTCCCTTCTAAACTTCCAGTTCCTTTAAACTGAAAGACAAATTTTAATGCAACTGTTTGTTAATTAGGGGGAAACATGGGTGAGAGGAGTGGGTTGGCGAGGACTGGCAAGGAAGCATGTGTTGAAGGTACTGACCGAAGACGACTGCGTGCTTGTGTGTGAGTGCGTGCATGTGTCCGTGTGTGCATGTGTGTGAGAGGAAGTACAGAAACTGATTAAATACATTCGTTAGGCAGTGTGGATAAGAAATACAAATTGTTGTAAATACTAAGTTAATAATTTGATGTCTTAATACACTTTAATTTATTAGAGAGAGGATAACTCAAAACAATCCAATTTTCTGTGCTAAATTTCCAGAAGCTGGAAAAACTAATAAATCAAAATTGGAGTACCTTATATTCACACAAGCTTTTCAGGCTAACCCGACACTACTTAATGAAGAATAGTTGGCAGACTAAACATAGCAATTTTAATCAATACAGCTTTTTATCATACTTCAATACAATACATTAAATTCCTGTATGAAACAAGGTGCTTAAAACACTTTTCACCAGCAAGAGTTAATGATTGTAAAAACTTGCAAGAGTTAGTTTTTCTCTCAAACTAAAATATTTTCCTCTCCTGTTGAAACTTTCAGCTGAAAGCTTAAACTGGTGGAGTAAATGCACCTGCTCAGAGTAACCTAGGCTTTTGAGACAGCTGAAAAAGTAATACCTCTCATTTACTTTTTAGGTGTTAATATGAACACACTTTATTTGAAAAAAAAAAAATGCTCTAAAGAAGTGTACTTACCAGATACATAGATGTCTGAAACCTTCAAGGTGATCGCTGTTGGTAAGCTGTAGCTGTCACTGCTGAGGGAGAAGTACCTGTTCTCTGCTTGATCTCTAAGTGAAACTGCAGGAGGTTGTTTCAGGGGGAGGGACTTAAGAAGTGTAGGAGTTGAGCCCTCGGGGTGTAGAGATGCACCTGATATTACTCCAGCCTGAAGCTACGATTCATTTGTTTGCGTCCACTGCTTTCATTCAGCATTACCTCAGCATCTAAGCTATCGAAGAGAGCTCTTGTTGCTTTTGTGCCCTCCAACAACCAAGTTTTACTCTAAACTGTAGTGTCTGTTCTCTGAGTAGCAATCTGCAATTTGGGGTCAAAAATAGTTTAGGTAATATACTGAGCTTTTAATATATTTAACTTTTGTAGAAGTGACTCGTGGGCAGCAGAATTTACTGTACAGAGGGAGTAGCAAAGCTTAGAAATAATGGTTTTACTCTTTTATTAGAGACTAGACATTTTTTATTGAATGCCTTTGTGGCTTTAATATTCTCGCTCTTTTTTTTCCTTCTCCTCTCCATTTTTATTTAAATCTTTTTGTCCTTCATGAGTCTCCTTTCCGAAGGCGGGACTGAACTAACTCCAAGCTTGCTTGCCACAGGAACCTGCCAAAGCTTGCCTATAATCAACAGTCAAATGTACATATCCTGTAAATGGAAAGGAGTCACCTCAGTAAGAAATTGATTATCATGTCGATATGTTTGCTTAGGAGCTGTGAAATGGAATGGTGAAAGGAGAAGTCAACTGATCATCCACAGATTAGTGCTGGTACTTGCTTTCAGTTGCATTTTAGTTAGAGTAAAAATCACGAATTTATTAATGTATTTGCCAGTCATCTAGTGACATTGCTGAGTTGTTCGGTGAAATAATAACCTCTTACATACTGGTTGTTAAAAGGAAAATCTGAAAGATCTAGCTCTCTCTTAAAAACATTCTCATTACTGGATGTAAAACCAGGAGTTTGGGGATATTAATTCTAATATTATTGAGATGTTAAAATTTCTGTTCAGAACTGTTAAATGCAGCTGGGTGAGCATGATAACCCTCTTGTTTCACCCACTGCTGTATAAATAAGAGTTGCAGATTATTGAAACTTTTAAACATAGAAGTATGATGAATTTTATACTTAGCAAAAGTACGGCCTTTTGAATTAAAATTATTAAGGAATTGTCACTACGAATCCTGTTTAGGCAGTGGGTAAAAGTTGTTTCAAAATCAGTGTCTTAAAAATAATTTTCAAGGTGTGGCTTTTATCTTGATGGAATGACTTACGGACAGCTACTTTCCTATCTAGGTATGCAGATCACCATCCTTCCCCTTGCTATGCCAACGTAGTTTTCTGGAAAATTTTTCTGAATATAAACAATCACAAATTTTAAGGTAGAAAGGTGGCTTTTGGTTGTTTTGTTGTGGGTTTTGTTTAGTTTTTTAATTTTTTTTTTTAATTTAGTTTTTTAATTTAGTTTTTATGTTCCTATAATGAAGCTTAGCAGTGTTAAAAGATGTCATATTACTGTCTAGCTCTTTTTAAATCCTATGGCTTTAGATGGAATAACAAAAGAGTTTGTAGTCTCTTGGTCTTCCACTTAGTTGTAAAACGTTTTGAAAAAAAGTAGTATATTAGAAAATTATACCTGCAGAGAAAGATCTTGTAATGTCTGCACTCAGAAGCATTTCTGAGAAGACCTAAGGAGAAAAGTCTTTTGCTTTCTCAGCAGATGATGTTATTCAGTAATCCCCACTTGGTAACAAATAGCCTTTCATTCATGTCAGGAGGCTTGTGTGCCATATCAATCTACATAACTGTCCTATTTTTTCTTCTGCAAGTGTGGATCATTTTATATTATTGGTAGCTGAAGGAAGGTACGATCAGGTTTCTTTTTTTGCATGTGATGGGGTGGAGGTAGGTTTCCTTGAATAGAATCAGATCAGATTTTTTTTTTTTTTTTTTGAAAGAAAATTGTAATTTCTGGCATCTGGAGGAGGCTGTTGAAAGACTTACTTAATATAGGTGACTGAATACTTAATATAGGTGACTGAACTGGGATATAAGGCAGTAAATATTTGAACTTTGATTTTTATTGTTCCCCCCCTTCTTCTTATCCTCCTTCCTTGATCTGCTATGTGGAGGAGAGACATGATGCCCAGTTGCTGCCTTGACCCAAGGAAAATAATGTTTCAAATCTAGCTGCTTCCTGAAGTTGCTATTATTAGTCAAGTCAGTTGAAACCAGCTGTGAACAAAGTAGAACTGGACAAAAAAAGAACAGCTAATGTAAATGGTCCTTTTCCTGGTGCTTGAAGGGTATTAAAAATCCAAATCTGGAGGAGCAGATTCATTGATAGACCCCAGAAAAGGAATGTGAGAACTCCTGTTTATGACAATATTTCTAGAAGTAATAAATCTTGATTGCAGTGATGATGTTTCATCACTTATTTTTGTTAACTCATTATACTTGCATCCTGAATATTAAATAAACTGAACCCAGTCACCTGTTGGTAGCACCTCTTTTAGTTTACCTGAGCACAAGTCAGATTTACTTAAGAGCACAAGGATTGACATAGTTAAATTTGGATTTATTGATATTTTTCTTCCAAGTAGTTTTTTTTTTTTTTAAATGTGATTATTTTTGTATTTCTGGAGTGCTAAGGCTTTAGTTTATTATCTTCTTTAGTGTAGAAGATACTTCTTTGTTCTGTTTCAAATTCACTATCAAGTAAGTGTTGTTTAGCTGTAGTTGGATTTCATAGGTTTAAGTACTATAGCATAAAAGGGCTATTCTAAAAATGTTACCAACTTCCTTCTTAATGTTTTTATATTAATTTTTTGGTTCAGCTTTAGCACTGAGTAGAAAAAAAAATGCCACTATCAGAAATCATACATACTAATGGAATAAACTTAACCCATTCTCGATACATTGCTTACCTAATTTTTATTTTCCTCTTGTACTTAAAAATTCCATTCCCTAGATTTATGAAAGAGTGCCAAGTGTTGCTCTGGTCCGTTATCAACCCCTCTGTTGATCAGATAATTCTTAACTTTCTGCTCTAGTTCAAAGAATGGCCCTGGTGGCTGAGTAGTTCTGATGTTTTGACTTTACCTTCTATCAGTCAGATCTCTGGTACTGGCTTTCTGAAGATGTCCACTGGTTGTCAGTCATCAACAACGTTTCCATATCTTTCTAGAGATGCCTTACAAATTTGTGAACTAGTTAGTTATTCCAAGAAGAACGATCATAGGTGAATGTGTATAATCTCATGTAGTTGAATACTGACAGACACGGAGCTAGTTAAGCTTAGCTTGCCATATAAAGGAAACATCTTAGAATTGTGTGACTGGCAATATTCACTTCTGTCTTTTTCATCTTAGTTATCTATCTAGATGTGTTGCTTTGAGCTAAATGTTCAAGAAAGTAATTTTTCTTTCTTTGATCAGTTGAGCTGAAGTTATTGACAGATTTTGCTATCTGTATTAGCATGTTTGGACTAGGTTATTCCATACCATTCCCAGAAGGGGGCAAATGTATTTGAGTATAATTGCTATAACTCACACTATGCCCCAAAACATTACATGATTCTTGTACAATATTCTCATAATTATTTTCTTCTATCCCATATGAATAGTTATTAGTCTTAATGCTTTTCGAGTAACACCTTTGAAATGTGCCTTTGTTTTTCATAATGATTCCAGTTCCTGACTTTGGAGATATGTCTGGGCAGATTACCATGCTGATGTTTGTGAGCCACTTGTTCATGATTACGAGAGCAAATTATTTGTATGGGAAAAGAATACAAGCTCAGCAGTTAATAGCAACTGCAGATCATATTTTTAGATATTTATTGTGGCCTGTACTGCTAGTGTTTGGCCTGGAACTAGGATGATCTTCCTTCTGGTTCCTGTCCTCACCCTTGGGCAGTGAAACATCTTGGGGGAAGTAGGTAATATCAGAAATTGAGACTACATGCAAAACTATGAACTGTTTATAAGAAGGAGTTTTTCATAATCATTCTTTTCATTGTTAGTCATTCTAGCAGAGATGTAAAATGCACCTTTCTTCAGTTTCTACTTGATGCTTTGGTAATAATTCCCTTTTATTATTTTTAAAATATTTTTCATGCAGAATGTTTTTTCCTTTTCTGCCTTGATTTCAAGAATTATGTGAGAGATTCTGAGACAGTTCTCTCAGCTAGATGAACTTTTTCCTCATAGAATCCAGTAGTAGGACTGGAGTTGTGCCACGTGCAGTTTTAGTGTATATAAAGTCAGTCCTGCACATTTTTCTTTGAGGCATAATTGGCGTTGAACTGTGATGCCACTCTCACAGAGAGAGCAGTGAGGCATATAATGAATACTCCTAGTCTCAAAATATTTTTAGCTTTCAGTTATTCTTTGAAACATGTCAAATTTTATAAATATTATTATGATTAATATATGTTATCTACTATTTAAATAAACTTTAAAAGTGGAGAATACAAACCAGCAAGTGAAATCTGATGTTTTATTTTACTCTATTAAAACAATACTAATACTGCTGTTCTTGAACTGCAGTTTGTCTGTTATGGTTTTGAATTCAAAGTTACTTGTTACCATTTAGCTGTAAAATTTCAGTCGTTTTTAGGATGGATCATGCAGCTAAATTTGCAGATAGGGAAAACTTTTTTAATCAAAATGGTCAGAAATAATTTAAAATCTTACAATTTGATGAATTATTGTGTGATTATTATTTGTGTGAATTTCTACATTTGGAATTGTAGCACTCCCAAATGAAACATTTCTTACTGTACAGCATATGGTAGGGCCAAAAACTTGCATTTCAGTGTGGTTTCAGTATGATTTCACATCTTTTGTTTTGTGCTGTATTTGTGGTTTTGTAGGCTTCAGACTATTATTTATAGGGGTTTTTTATTTAATTGGGTGGGGATAAATACTAAACAAACGAGAATCCTCGTTTACTTGAATTTCTGGTTTGCTTGTGAAAGGACGTTATTAAAATTTCTCTTGATGACAGCATAGTATAAACTTTCTAGCTAATAAGGTGTGTCATTTATAGGAACATGAAAC